TTTAAAAATGTCCAGAATTAAAAGTCTTAATTCACATTCTGTTTATGTACTCATGTTATGTCTTTGCTTCACACACTTACTCATCACTGTCATGACATAAATTGAAACCACTGATGAAAACTGCATCTCATCTGATTTTCCAGCACGTCTGCACTTATTCTTGGCACCTGTTAAAAAGGAAATCTTACAAAAACCTCCTGTATTACTTTACATGGTGAGGTTTAGATATGCCAGTGTGACTATGAATGTATTGTGCATGTACCATGAATCTGTATGTGTGTTCTGAGCAAGGGTGGATTTTCCAGTAAGCTTTCTTGGCAGAGTTCTCACTCACAGCGCATTAGTTTCAAGTGTCTAGTGCTGAGCAGGTATGTCAATACACGTTTTGACAAGCATCAGACAGGTTGGTGGGGACATAAATGAAAGCAGGAATTGCAGGTTGAGTTGCACTGAAATTGTTTCTATTGCACGAAGAAGCCACAAATTACGTCTCATAACAAACTGGAATTTACGTCACAATCAATATTTTGCCTCATATGTTGTGTGTGTGCGTGCATGTGTGTGTGTGGGAGAGGGTGTGTTGGTATAAATTATTCGAGGAAATTAAATTTTCCCATCCCTCATGCTACCAACTGGGGTACCCACAGACCCCAGAGGTATACTTTCTGTCATATCTCACATGTGCTTTACTCTATCATTTCAATTTTTCATGACATTGTCAATCAGATTGTTCCTAATGACTTCATATTGTTTTCTGCTTCTGCTTTGATTGGTGCTTTTTTTAAAAGTACCAATGTACTGGGGTCCTATGCAGTCTAAATAGATGGAACTATTTACTGAGTCCATGTTTGCAATGGGTCCTAATTTACAGTATCACACAGTCTCTGGGGGGCACTCTGTCAGTCAGTTCATTTTCAAGGAGACAGAAATAGATGCAGCAGACAAAGATTTCCTCATGTGCTCCATCGAGGTTCCCAAATAATGCTCATGAGATTATGTTCAACGTCAGAAATAAATTACACGATTTCACGATAAAATGTTTTATGATGATCAAATTCAGTTAATCAATTCAAGGGAAACTCTGCTGCTGTGGACGTCAAACGCTGGGTTGGAAAATCTCGAAAAAAGGTGTTGCCTCCGTTCCCAAACACAGACAGGAAGGTAGTAAATGGTTGCTCCTCCTGTCACATGCCAGTGTGCCCTGAGCATAGCATGAGTCAAATCATGTGCTCCGACTGCCTCTGGCATGTGCTGTTTATGTAAACACCACTGGTTTTACATTAGTAAGAAAATTAAAAACCTAAATTTGAATTACGTCTATTTAACCTTTATTTTGACAGGGGCTCATACTGAGACCAGGGTCTCTGTCTACTTTTGTATTGGAAGACAGAGAAGTTTGAATGAATGTAGATTAATTTTTATAATTTTATATTGGGGTCAAACTGACCCTGGTTGGTTTCACCACATAAATATAACACTGATGTTTTCTTGAAATTATGGAAAACTAAAGGATAGCAGAATCAGAGGATGGTTAATGATATGTGAATTAAATCAAATCTGTTTATTTTTGTCAAATGACACTGATTATAAGCCTGACTAATAATGTTTGGAGAAATAAGTTAACTTTTTGCTTTTTATTCTCGAGGTCCCCAGTCGGTCTTTGTATGTTAAATATGTTGGCAGCATGAGCGTTAAACTTTTGTCACACATCTCGAATGATTTAATGGAGAAACTACTGTAATAAAAGCTTAATGTGACAAACAAACAATGTGGCCTGTTTCTCATACTGGACTAATTAAAGCTATTATATAGATGGAGATGGGTTTATGTATGGGAGCATTTGGATTATGTTTCTCAACTCATTTGTTACATCTTTCCTTTGACATCTACAGAACTCACTACAAAGTGAAAGACTTGTTTAACCTTAGGACACTTGACCAATTATCTACCCAACAGATCAGATGCACCATCTGGCCTGCAGCAGTACAGCTTCACCACAAAGCCATGATGTCCTCAGAGAGGTCAGCATAGAGTTGCATGGCCTCATGGTTAGTTGGAAATCGCTCATGCATTTAAGATCTAGTGTGTAGCATTTAGTGGCATCCAGTGGTGAGGTCACAGAACTGAAATTCTCCCATGTGCCAAGCTTTTTAAGGTTTTTACTAACAGGTTTATCTTATATATATGAGTTGTTTTGTATATTGTTTTTACCCAAAAATTGTATTTGTGTCAATAAAATAACTAACCAACTACCTAACTAGGAGAAACATGTCTGTTCTACGCTACTGTAGAATAACTTGGCGAAGTGGTAATTATGAACAGCTCATTCTAAGGTAATGAAAACAGCTGATTATAAACTCATGACAGCATAATTATCGTTATTATATAGCATTTGTGCCAATATGTCCCTTAAATCATACACACTGTCATGGTCATCAAGTTTTGTTGTAGTTTGCTTCCTGTTTTGTTTTGTCTTGTTTTACTTCCTACCTTTGTCTTTTTCCTGCTTTGTATCAGTTTCATTAGTCCTTCCCCGTTCCAGAGTTTCCCTGCACACCTGTGTCATGTTATTCTTGTTCGCTCCACCCTGTGTCACCCACCACACCTCCCTTATCGTCATGTTTTTAGCCAATGCCTGCGTTTCCCTCCTTTTGCTCATGCCCGCCTACTCCAGCCATGTGATGTTCTTGTGATTAGTTCTCTGTGTATGTGTACCTGTGTCTTTGTTCCTTTGACAGATCTGTCTTTATGGTCCGTTAACTGGTTCATTCTCCCTGCCAGTGTTGGCCTTTGTGTTCCTGGTTGGATTCCTTTAGTGTTCCTTGATTACCAGGTTGTTACTAATATGGTTTTGTTTTTTCATAGTTGTTTTGTTGTTCGTCTACCTGCTGCCTCAGTTTTGTTGCCTGCTTGAGTTTTTGTCTTTTTTGTATCAGCTTTTTATTATTAAAGCTTGCTTTTTGTTCTCCAATCATGCCTGCTTGGTGTTTCACATTTGAGTCCTCTCTGCACAGAGCAACACATACTGGACATTAAAGATAAAATAATCCTTCCTTTGTCTCATAGAGGGGAACTTTATGTTGTTACAGCAGCAGAAGGGATGGTACAAAACAAAAGCATCAGTAAAAAACAGCAATATAATATAATATAATAAGTAAAAATGATTATAACTTACAGTATAAAGGCAGGCTGAATGGCGGAATTCTAGTATTGATATTGCACGAGTTATGACTGATGGTTGTCAGTTTTGGTAAGTGTGGGAGTAGTGTTGGTTGTAAACTCTGACAGCAGCAGGAAGGAAGGACCTGCGGTATCTATCCTTCACACACCGCAAGTGAAGCAGCCTGTCACTGAAGGAGCTGCTCAGTGCAGTCAGTGTCCTGCATCAAGTGGGGCATGTTCTCCATCAGGGACGATAGCTTAGCCACTGTTCACCTCTTTTCCACCACCTCCACTGGATCAAGGGAGCATTCCAGGACAGAGCCGGTCTTCTTAACCAGTCTGTTAAGTCTCATCCTGTCAGCTGTCGAGATGCGGTGGCCCTAGCAGATCACTCCATAGGAGATGACTGATGCAACCACAGAGTCAAAAAGGTCCTCAGGAGTGACCTGAGTCTCCTCAGCAGATTGACTTTGTTCTGTCCTCTCTTTGCTTTTGTGCTTTTATATGTTGTCTGTGCAGTCCAGTTAATGTTTCATGTGAACACCTAAGTACTTGTAAGACTACATGTACCCAATCTCAATGTCCATTCCCAGGATGTTCAGTGTTACAGGAGGAGAGTCCACACATCTGACCTCTGTTGTACTTTCCCTTACAAAAACATGCAACTAAATCCGAGAAGTTGCAGATATTCGCAGCAAACTCTAATCCAACATTTAGGAATCAGGCAACTCACCTAGAAAGCTGTGAGGTGTCTTTGCTCATGACTTTTTGTTATATCAATGTGAAACACCTGTAGCCTCTGTAAGTAGTTTTGACTCAACTACACAATCTGTAGTTAGGCTATTGACTACAGTAAGTTTGGGATCGAATCCCAGTCATGGCAGGTAACACACATCCAGTCGGGACCCTTCAGCAAGGTCCTTAATGCTGGTAGCCTATCTCAGGATGAGTAAACCCAAAAAAAGAGTCATGGCAGCTTGGATGTCGCCCGGGTCAACAAGGTCAGGGCAACCTGATGAGAAATGGGCTACTGGAACAAGACATAGATGGACTGGAGCAGAGAATATGGAACTGTCGGACCATGTGGGATACATGGATGCTTCCAAACCCAACATCTAGGCTGGCAAAGAAACAACTCCTAGACCACTGTTCCAACATCCACAAACTGCAACTGCTATCGCATGTAGAGACTGAAACATGCTATGGCAAGGGGGGTGCCGGGACGACAGGTCAAAGTGGGGAGGTCATCATCATCCCCACACTCCGAGAATGAGATTGGGTACCAAGCCCTAACAGACTCCCTTACAGCAGGGGCGAATGACCTGCAATTGGAAATCATGGACAAGCTTGACATCTGGATTCCCCGAAGCTGATTACCAAGGCAAAGTATCCTCTGAAAGCCTGCTAGATGATGTGAATGCAGTACTACATACTATCCCCACCAGGACCATGGCTGAGACCAATCAGTATGTATATGTACATATATATGTGTGTGTGCGTGTGTGTATAATGTAACTAAAAAACAATATTGGAAACATACAGGACACCACTGCAGGACATAAACAACATGAGGACATAACTGATGTAAATACATATGGTGAGATATACTGTAACTTTTATTGAACATCATCACATTGTCACAGTTTACAAGATATTTGATTTTAATAGACACCATTTTCGACATTTCACTGCATTAAGTATTTAATAGACTGAGAAGAAAAGGTTTGTAAACTCATTAAATTAATGTGGCACTTCTGTTATATGGAGATATACTAGAGAAACATCTGAGGACCCATTTCCCACCCAGCTTCTCTTTGCAGATAAAAAAGCACATACTGTTATTGTGACACGTGTGTATTACTTCACTGGTTTATTATCATTACATACAGTATTTGCTGTACATAAAACAGGATGACACTGATTCCTCAGAGACAGGGAAAATACACAGGTTCAGCTGGAAGTTGGCATCATGCAGATTATGTCTCATAAACCAACAGCATTGAGTCCACTTAACGACTCTCACTGGTTTCTGATGATTCTGCAGAACAGGCATCTCAGTTTTAAGGCGCAACATCAACCTTTAAGTAGTACAAACTTCTTCAACTCTATCTGTACATCACTGCCTATTGTTATTACCATGGTTACACTAACCATAGTTACAGTAGGCCTTAACATTTGCTTTTCCATCAGAGACAAAAGCTGAAGAAACATATTTTTAGTGTGATAAAGTGCTTTACACAAAATAAAGCCACATTAAATAAAAAACCAATATGATTAACAATAGAAAACAAGTACGAGTCAGACAAGGGTCACAGAGCAAAGCAAAATAAAATAAAAACACCGGTATGTTATGTACATATCCGCCATTAGGGTGTTAAGGGGACTGTCTGAGTCCAAGCAGCTATTTTTTTATTTTATCTTGCAAAAAGAGCATCTGACATTGCAGTGACAGATTTCTTCAAACCAGTCTGGTTGGGAAGAAAGCATCGATGTACAGTGACAAACAGGTCAATTCACATTCTACTTCCCAGCGAGCACATATGTACAGCGTGTAATGTGTTCAAAGGTCTTGTGAAAGCAGCACAAAAGAAGAGGACATCAACCATTCAAAGTAAGCAAGAAAGACAGTCACTCTGTCGTCCAGTTTCTCGAACTGCTGTTAGTGTCCATCGACTATACAGGTGGTAAATTTAGACTGACTGTTCATTTGGATGGATCTAGCACTATCAGTCAGCAAGTCAGTAAGTGAGTATCAGTCAGTGTCAGTGGCGTCTTTCAGTTGTTTGCAGCCATCTTTGCTTTGATGCGGTTGATTTTGAGAGGGAGCAGGCCGACCATCTCCGTACTCAGCTCCAGCTCCGTCTCCACAGCGGCTGCCGCCTCAGGGTGGGCCTCACAGTACTGCACCACGTATCTAGACAACAGGTGGAAGTTGAAGGTGATGGTCAACAAATTACACAAACAACATGGCAGCTGGGAGCATGCAGAAAGTACAGCACACCCCCAGTACACTTTTTTTTTAAAATTCTTCTTATTCCACCAAAAATATCTTATTTCCTTATACTTCTACCGGGGCTTAAAGCAGGGGAAATTCATGTGCCTGAAATGTGTTAAGGTGTAGATGTTTTCATTATATTATAGTCTACTTTATTTACAAAAATACAGGGTTCCTTTTGGCTGTATACATATATAGAGCCATATTCTTGCTACGTGACACATTGTTGAGTTCTCCTGTTGAGAGCACATCTTTAAATATGAAGAAAGAAGATGTAGCACCATGCAGTAACAAATATATCTTCTTACTTGTAGTTTTCCAGAGACTTGTTGAGGTTGTCGAGCTGGGCAGGGGGTGAAGAGGTGATCAGCCGGCTGTAGAGTCGGGCCACCCTGAAGCGGGCCACCAGAGCCGGTCTGAGCACCTCCTCCTCCAGGTGCTCCGGATGCTTCCCCTCTGGAGAACACAGAGAGTCCAGGAACATCTGGAAGTATCTGGAGAGGAGGATGGAGGATTTCAAATCAATTAGATTAAATAATTGTAGATGCAAGCGTGCGTACATACACCCACACATACACACACACATATATAAACTCACTTGGCAGAGGCAGAGCAGAGATGGTTGAATTTCTTGATGGTGTGGTTATCTAGAGACTGTGTATCAGCCTGTCTGTTGGCCAGCGCCAGTTTCAGGTCCATCATTTCATTGTAGGTCTCAGCCAGCTCAAACATCATCTGTCTACGGATCATTAGGTAGTACTGGGCGTTCAAGTCTGTAGATAAACAGAGAGTCAGAGAAAGTCAGACCCCATCAATTTTGTCACCTTGGTGGATCATCTTCATTGTTTGGCCTATAGTATGTCGTAGAAAATGGTAATAAAAATGTTGATCAGTGTTTCCCAAAGTCCAAGATGACATCCTCAAATGGAGCAAAGAAACCAGAAATTGTTCACATTTAATTTTGACTTTTTTCCACCAAAAATTACTCAAACCGATTTAGTGGTTATCAAATTAGCTGGTGATTAATTTAAAAGTGAACAACTAATTGATGAATTGATTGTTAAAGCTCTGCCTTCAATGGACAATTGGGTTGAACACACAGTAACCGCGTTACTTTGTTTCATATTTATTTTTTTTTACTGTGATCTATTTTATAAAAACATTTAAAAGAGAAAAAAATACAACTCAAGGAAGTTACCATTGCAGATTGGCTCCAACATGTCAACTCTGCGTTTGTGCATTTTGCAGCGCCGCTCCAGATCCCCTTCAAAGAACGCCAGGGCCCGGAACAAAGAACTGTGATCCTGCAAGATCTCTATGTGGTCTGTCACATAGCCGTCCATCTGAAAGTACTCCTTAGCCTGCATGAGTGAGTGAAAGGATGGAGACAGTTTGCCATGTTGAGCAGTTGAAACTCAATTGTAAGTTTAGCGCTTGGGGCATTTTTTCAAATGTAAACCTGTGTGGATGAAGAAAAAAACTTACAGAAAACCTGGTTTTGTGCTCCTGACATGATTCCCTTTTTAGCCTTCAATACAAAACTCTCTCTGCTATTAATACCAGCTTAACATCATATACCAAAATTACATCATATTCATGACATCCTGGCATACATTTGCTTCTGAGGTGAATATTTTAGATGGCAATATGGTCATGGTCTTGAGTGGTACCAGTACAGTTGAGAGCACATGCAGCTATCTGCTTGGTATATTACTGTATATGTGTCAAGTCCAGTCTAGTTTGTTTATACAGCCCAGTATCAAATGCAATATCTCAGAGGGCTTCACAGTCCACAAACTGCGCTAGGAAGTGAACATAAACTCTAAAGCTCAAAACCATCTTTTTATTACAAGGCCTCATTTCTTTTTATTATTTCAATAATCAGCCATCTGCTGGTATCTTCAATAACTCAGCTACATGAGATTCCTCAACTGTGCTCTACCATTGTGTGTGTCTGTTTCCTTGTATAAGCCTATCTAAACTAATGCTAGGAGTCTGCCTAACCCTGTTTCAGTGTGTGCATATGTGTGTGTATGTGCTGTGCATACCTGTGTGACATAATTCTGTCCCACCAGAAATACAGCTCTGGCCTCAGTGAAGTCCAGAGGGAACAAACAGCGTACCTAGAAAACACAAAGCAGAGAGTTTGATCTCATGATGATACAGTAACCTTAAATCTGCATTTACTGTCTGATTAAGTACTAAGTAAGTTCTATAACAAAGAACATTACTAGCAGCACTAGCACTAGCATCAGACCCAGTATACAGACCTTCTCTTCCAGGCTAGCAATGGAGTCGAAGGTGTCTTCAGAGCCAAACAGCAGAGCACTCTTCCTGCCCTTCTCTTCCTCCTCCTCCTCACGTCTCCTCGCTCTCATCAACTCTTCTTGACGATCAGTATCCAACTCTCCGATGTTGTCCTGCTCACAAACACATGCACAAGCACATTTTAAGACACACTCAATACAACTACGTAGATCTAAGCTCAGAGACACACAAGCATGTGGACACGTAAACTTAGACAGGTAAACACACAGACGCCATAGCCATAACAAAAACAGTTTAAGTGACAACCCTTAAAACTTTTTGGTGCTACATTTTTTGGGTTGTCTCTGATAACACTGAGTTAGCTGTGGGTGGTGCTCTTTTCCTCAGCCAGTGGCTATCACTGTTTATATGAGAGGTGTGGACTTGAGTACAAAAAACTGCCACAAATGAATGCCCGCACATATACGTCCATGTCGTACCTCTAGCAGCTTCTTAGCATCCTGCAGGAGGTTGAGACAGTATTTTATCCAACATCTTGCAATGTCTGCTCTTTTCTGCCTCAGCTGCTCCCTGCGCTCACTCTCTGTCTCACCTGGGTCACACAGAGGGAGAGAAAGATGTTGAGATATGCCGGTGCTTTGCTATACAGTTGCGTTTGCTCCTGTCTAAATGTCTTTACAGACAAATGCAAATTATTTGTGTAAATAAACTGCAAGTCAATTAAAAAATTTGAACCCATCTATCCCTATGAATCTACCCCTATCTTATTTGAAGCTTTTGTTTTTCGCTGCTTTTTTCCTGCAGCTGTTTCAATTTCTGCTCATTTCAAAAGCCAATAAAAACATGTCAACCAACAAAACAATTACTTTATCTACATTATGCCTTGTATTAAAAGGCGATGTGTCACTAACACATACATATGATAGACACATTTACACTCTGTTCAGTCAGTCATGAATAATGAATACCAGCATTATGAAGCTCAGCTTTTACATGTTACAATGACATGGCGCCACCCAGAGGAGATGCAAACACACTAACTTTTTGACACAGTACTGCGCACTTAAAATAACAGGGCCTACAGTGTGAAGGCTTGAGTGTGGTTTTATTATAGTGAAAACAGCGATGAATCAATGACTGCATGACAGTGCAAACACAGTTAGTGTCTCCTTGGTGTAAAAGCTTTGAATGCAAAACACTATCAATGAAATTTCTATATGTCATTTCAATTTTTTTCTTTCATCCCTGGTATGAAAAGGCCTCAGTGTAGTTTATTGTGGTGACAGAATACAGAGGAATTAACCAATTAAGTATGCTTCCTTTGATATGTATATTAGTATAAGATTTAAATAGATACTTACTCTCCTGCGCTGCGGCCTCAGAAGGAACCTCTCCTGCCAAACCTGATATGACAGTAGCTGCTGCGAGACAGTGTCTGCCTTCCATGTAACGACCCTAGAAATCCCACACACACCACACCTCTCAATACTTACACTGAAAACAAACTGTGACAGTGCTGTTGAACTAGAGCCGATTTTCCAAGTATATTTGATTATGACACCAAACTTCTTGCCATGTAATCTGCATGTAGTCTCTTGATCAATCTGTGCCCTACCTTAGTGATATAATACTGTGATAATGTCGCAGCGTTCAGAGCCCACTCCATTGGACTGAACTGATTTAACTGTAACTGTCTCTGCAGGGTGCTGTGGCAATAGGTGGCAGCACGCTCATTTTCACCTGGAAGACAGAACACTATAGTTATTATTATCGTCATCAAATAGAACAATACATAAACACAACAAGACTCAGCTTTGCCAAACATTTTACATACACTTTCAAGTATTTAATATACATAAGCCAGTAAATCTATACTGCTCTACTTATTTGACTGTAACAAGGTCAGACTCACCAAGGTTTTTATAAACTTGAGCAAGGTAGTACATGGTATGGGTGTAGGCCAACTCAAACCTGAGAACGAGAAGTTGGGGGAAGATTGAAGAGGAGAATGAGTATATGGGGAAGTCAGAGCATGAAAAAAGCAATTCAAAAATCAAACAGAGGGTTGGCTACATGAATGACCAATATCATGCAGACTTGTTGTACATATCATGGGAGAGACGTCTGCCTTCTCTCCAATATAACGGAACTTTCCAGTAACTGATTACTTAAGATAATTCACAGTCCTTGAGAGCACTTTCATGTTGGAACTATTTTCTTTCTACCGAACTACACCCACCAGCTGAATCACTGCGTAGAGGGAAGCGTGCATCTACTCACGGACAAGAGGCTCATGCTCGTCACAGCCTGAGATGTTAACATTAACTGCGTCCTCGGCTGAGCTGTAAAGTTAGCTAGCTCAGTGAAGCTAGGTGAGCTAGCAGTGGATGCACGCTTCCTTCTTCGCAGTGATACAGTTGATGGGTGTAGTTTAGTAGAAAGAAAATAGCTCCTACATGTAACTGCTAACAACAAGGTCTGTGGATTATCTTGAGTAACCAGGTCATGATTCATGAACAAAGACATTACTGTTGAGTTTTTCAAATATATTTTTTTGACGCTTTGAGCACCACATGTTGAGTGCTATCTAGTTCCATTATATTTGAGAGAAGGCAGACATCTCTATGGCTGGTATCTCCAACACTCTGCAACTCACACCAAAACAATCTAGACTGATAAATAGCACTACAGGTGAGAGGAAAAATATTTATTTTTGATTTTCAATTGAACTGTCCCTTTAATATAAACAGGTGGAAAGTCTAATGTGGGTTTGGGCCTTCTGTATGGGGATACTGGAGTTTACAAGTTACCTCTTGGTCCTTTCCTGATGTGTCAGTAAGTTTTCCTCAGTAGTGAAGTACTCTGTCATATCAGTGGGTGGACTGCCATCCTGAAAAACAACAAAAACACAACAAATATGGCTTCACCTTGTCTTCCTGCTGTTGCAAGAAACTAAGACTTTTGGATGCTGATGTCAACAGTTAAAGCAAGCGACACACATTTATGACCACATGCTTCATTACTCCATTTCTGCTACCGAGTGCATCATATTTCATTTTAATTTGTGAATAGGATTAATATCAAGCATAACGCTGAATCCTCAGAAGATCAGAGAATGCAGAAAAAAGCAATGTCAACAGTACTTGCACAACTTTTTACTAAAAATACAACAATGTGATACTCTGTCTTGGCGACTGCCAGACAGGTAAATGAGGCTTATTTGGCAGCTCACCTATTGTTAATGAGGCAAACTGACGATGACTGATAAGTATGCAAAGTCTCAATGCATTACTGAAGTGTTTACCATAATAGTCAGATGATAGAGTAGTTGTGAGACAATGAAGAAGCTAGATAATAAGTCAGTTATACAGCAGTGATGGTTTCCTCTGCTCCAGTCCCTCCTGCCTGCCCTGTCACCGATCGGTCAGTGTACCAGCTGCTTCAAGTTAACAGTCACACAAGACACCGATCTTACCTCCTTCATGTAACGTTGGTAGATGGATTCTGCTGTTTCAAGGTAACCCTGGGCCTCCTCCGTCTCATCCCGGCCTGCCCACAGGATACCCAGCTGGTTCTGATAACACAAACAGCCAGTACATGTGTGTTATAGCACCATCTGATGTCATACTACAGCAGAATGATTTGGATAAGCAAGAATAATTTACTGTATTTACATGACTTTATAATGAACCTGATGGATCTGATGGACTGTGATCCTTAATAATATTAGAAGTCATCAATCTTATATGTCAGCTGTTGTGTGTGTAAATAGGGACTAATGGTACACATTCCCACAGGCCTACAATGCTAATTTTATTGGGGTTTAACAATATTATAGTCAGTTTGTCAGTTATGGTTGATTGGGAGCAGCTCAGACACAATTTATTACGTTATTATTTTTCAACATTACTGTTATTAAGACATATTGTATGAGCTTAACGTTGGCTGCAGCCGTGGCCTGTCTGTAGAGGGTAAAGAAAACTGACAGTTAACCGAATGCTAACGGTTAGCTTTGTAGCATTATTGGGCATTTTAACGACAACATTACCCTAACATGGATAAACAGCGACACATTCTCCGACGACACTCTGCATCTGTCCAGCAGTTTCAAGCAGTTTGTCAGATGCTCCTGACCGGCTGACAGCTCCTCTGTGTCAACATGGTTGACGCCCAGATAGTAGTCCACAGCCCCGAGTTTAGCGGCCCGCAGCCCGGCTGGCGAGTCGCCGCTGAAGCCCTGACCGAACCCGTCCTCCCTCTGCTCGTCCTCCGGCGGCTCCGTCGGCCGTTGGTCGCTGCTCTCTCCGCCGGCTTCCTCTTCACCTTCGCCCGCTTCGAAACTCTTAAGCGAGCAGTATATTTCTCTGAGCAGCTCCCTGGCCTTGTATTTGGAGCGAAACGGGTCGTTTTCGGGGTCATTTCTTGATTCGATAAGAGTGAGGTTTTGGGCGTTGGTGAATTTGTCGCACACAGCCCTCCACTCTTCACTTCTCACGGACGCCATGTTGGTCTTCTTCGTTGAACTACAACTCCCATAACTGGGCAAGACTGTATGGGTGCTCTTTGTTGCAGTGCTGCCACCTGCTGGATATAGTTAGATCATCTCTTTCTATGTCAACGTATTAATTTAACGTGTCATTATGCTTACAATCTGTACTTGACTTTACTTGAAATTTGTTGGTACACTAGTTTTGACTATGTTGACTGGCTCATTTGTTTTATCTTAAGTAGGCTATGCAGAAAATGGTGGTGATATATGAATATTTATAATATTCAGCTCTCAGCAGTTGTTTTCTATATGTGTGTGATGTATTCATAAATCATGAGATCTATGACATGTGAAATAACCATTCATTTCCAGATAATTTGGTTTTTACGTTCAAACTCTGTTGAAAATATACAGTGAGGTCAAAAAGTCTTAGACCATTAGCCAAGATACTTCTGTTTTTTTTCTGTAAGGTGACCTTGAGCGTCTTGAAAGACGTCTCTAAATAAAATGTATTATTGTTAATATTTTGAATTTGCTTTGAATGTAACACCTTTTTCCTTACAAACGATAACATTGGCTTAACAAGCTGAGTGAAAAGTTGAATCTGAAAATTGCTCATGAATTTCAGAATATCTTATTTTCAGTATTTTGCATACCATCCTTTTTGCTTTAGTGACAGTATACACGTGAGGTGGTATGGACTCCATAAGTGTGTGCAAAACCTGATGACCCATGTTTTCTCAGCACAATTTGACAATAGTCCAAAGAGTTTCATGTGGTGTCTCAGAGTGCTTAGCTTTCTCAGTCTTCAAGTGCCCCAGAAATTTTCAGTGTGCTTTAGTTCCAGTGACTGTGGAAGAAAGTCCATGACATTCAGGACTCGTTTATCCTAGTGATAAATGGAATGGACTTGTATTTGTTCTGATGCCATGTTTCTATCACAATGCTATGTAGTAAGCCACGATCTGCTGGAAACTTGAGGCACAGCCATATTTATAACAGGTGGACACTGGCTGCAAGTTAGTTAGCTGCCAGTTATGTGAATGAGCCTAAGATGACTAGATCAAATCCAGGAGTGTCATCTCAATGCACACCTCTATGGAGGAGATACAACTCAAGGAAATCAGACCTTTTGAATAAAGGAGTTACACTGGTCAGTGCCACACATTTGCTTAAATTTGATTGCTGATCTAGAAATGGTGCAGGATCTTAAATATTTCTTCATTTTACATCCCGTGACTTAATGTGTTTCTAAATGTGTTTTTCTGATTGTTTCCAGATATGTGAAAATATAGAGCTTCTCAATGTGGGCTCAGACTTTTAGACCCCTCTGTATGTTTGTGTTCATTTAACAAGGGCATTGGGCTGCGGAGCTAAGTGTAGAGTGTAAATACGGAGCAGAGGCCTCCTTGACATTACCATGGTGAAATAGCCAACACTGTAAAGGTGACCTGATCTTTAACAATGACCATGGAACAGAAACAAAAAAAGAATCAAATGAACACTGTAGTGGCAAAGTTGAACTTCATTAAACACAAGCTTTGCAAATAAATCACTCACTCCCTGAATTAATTGTGTTCAAGTTGGTTCTAACCAGTTTATTTGAACAAACACAGGGAATCAAATCATTTGTCAGGGAAAAATTATGTGAATTATACAATGACAATAAATTAATGTGAATGACATGATGACAACAACAACACACAGTACATGTATGGTCAGCACTGACAGAAGCAGCTTGTCTTATTTATCACCCTGTTATAAAACCATGCCAAACTGGATCCTCATTCACTCTGTTTCCATTATACAGGATAAAATCTTGCTAAAGGGCAAAACAAACATAAATCATAGCTCTGCGTGTCCTCTGTGTTTAGGTAAAGGTTAATGAATGAATGTCTGTATGCTTAGCAAGTGAGTATCTGCTACGGTGTGGACATATTTACATAAGCTGACCTTAGGCTAAGTTTTACATGAAATATCATTAATATTTTAATTACTTAGGAGGATGCAAAGTAATGAAAATATTAATGCTGATGACCTAAAATTATATGATTGGTGAGTAATGATTACTTAAGCCTGATTTGTGCAACAGACGGTGGATCCAGTGTGCAAGGCAGCTAACTGTCAGGCTGGTTAGCTGGGTGCACATTCACCTACATGATATTTTGTCATATTGAATGTTGAAAAATTCTAAAAATAAATCAGAGTTGACCTTAATTCTTGGAGGAAAGCATCTGTTTTTTTCTGTCTGTACAGTAGAAAGTGGCTAAAACTTAATGAGCATGATCAATCATGGTACCATCATTTTAAAAAAACGGTGCAAGTGCCATGGTTTCAGTGATTAGATGAGATGTTTAGTTGCGTTCGTTCTGATGTCCAGGTTCAGACAGCTGTTGCAGCAGTGTGGTGCCACTCTGCAGTGAACATTCTGCATCTGCTTCACTCTGCCACTAAGATTTCATCTTCTTCTCCATGCTGGAATATAACAGAAAAAGTCAGAGTGCTTACAGTTTTGTTTTTCCCATGATCTCTATTTTAAAGATTATTTCAGATATTTTAACCTTGGTTTTATCATCCTAAATCTCACTATCATATCAAGAGCTGAAGGCATTTAAGAAAAAAAACCCCACTGCTGATTATCATAACTCTTACGTTATTGATGACATAGTGTAAAAAGTCATGGTGACAAAATAAGGACCAGTTTGAAAATAACTGGAAATTCTGACATTTTTTCCCCAACACTTCATAAAATATGATCCATTCACACTGACAACAGAAATAAAACAGCATGAGATTACTTACTTGTATTTGATGAGACGACCTCCCTGGATTAGCTGGGCCGACTCATTGGTCAAATGGCAAGCAAACAGTAGCCAGTTGCGTGGCTGCACCTTGTAAGCAAACCTCATGAAGAGAATTGAGTAGCAGCACAGAGCTGAGAAGAGGGAGAAAACACACAGGTTTATTACAGAGCCACTGTCTTCTTTACCATCTTCTACTGCTACACTTACTCCCCTAGACTTAATGTTCACAAAAAATAATAAATAAATGAAGCATCTACCATGTTTTCTGAGGCCCCTTTCAGGCCAAAGTAAAAACTCATTCAGAATGTGATGCAGAAAAAGGGCAGCCACAGAAAATATCCAAAATGACCTGACAAGAACTGCAGTTGTAGTTTACTTATAGGAATTTTTCATTTCTAAGTAACCTTCAGATAAAGTACAAGATACAATCCTAACCCTAACAAGCTTAACGAGAAAAGGATGGGGGTATTGTCTGTGCCCTGCATGCGTAGATCGGGGCTTATCAGTGCATGCGTCTGTGTGACTTACCGAAGGTCATCCTGCCACTGATAATCTCAGGGCTCTTCTTCATATCTGTGATGGCGGCTATTGGAAGACCCCAGTTTGCTACCGGACCCCAGAAATGCTGTACGGACACACACAAAGGGACAAAACATTGTTAGGACCACAGACTGGACATGTATCTTTAGCTGGCTGTACAAAAGAACAGAACTACATGTGAATACTTTAGAGTAAAATCTGTATTGTGACTCCCATTATTAAAAGTAGTGATGTTAAAAATACATAGGAGAAAACCAGGACAGTAAAGATTTGAAAATGATACATTCATATGAGGTACGAGACAATCGGAAAGATTGACATAAATCAGCAGGCAGTCACAGATGAAGATAGACACAGATAGAAACAGCTATGTTGAAAGAGAGAAACCATGAGTACTTACCGTGCTGTTGACGTGTTTTATTTTTCAGGGCCACATGGAAGAGAAAAGAACATAAATACAGATAAGTCATACTGATGTGCGTGAGCTGCTGCCACCTAAAAAAGGTCATGGGTCTGTCTCAAGCCTGATGAAGTCACAAATGACAATAGAACTTGAACTGAATAAAGAGCCCAGGTCCTGCAGGGCTAAACTGGGATATTATGAATAAGGTAACATTTTATTACCTGGATGAAAATATTTAACCACACTCACAGTCAACTGTCGATCATAACATTCATAACAAAAGGTAAAGGTTAACTTATTGATTTTCTGCACAGTGACAAAACACACCACCAAAATTGTCAGAAAGCCAACTAAACCAGAGAAAGGGCCAAAGGCCGTACATAATGTGTGCCTAGCACACATCTACAGCACACGTTTGACTTTCTACTGGATTTTCAAGACCGTCCACACAAAACTCTTCAAAAAACTAACCTAGAGATAAGCATCTTTATCTGTGACGAATGTAAACAAAGATGGCTTCTTGCATCACTAGTCTGTACACTGAATTTCAAGCAGGCTGCTGCTCTGTGGTAAGTGCACACACCCCACCTGGACATCATGTACACATTAACCAACGTTTTGACAACATGACAAAAAGTAATAAAAGTAATCCTCCCTGCTTGCCTTTGTCCCCAAAGCCATATTTATCACTGGCCTCAGCCTTAAAGCAGTACACAGTTAAACACTGTTGTTAGTGGCACATTTGTTGTTTCCCTGCGATCCTATTAGGGCCTCTCACAGGTTACGACCCACTTTCGAGCTTTGCTGATTGGGTTTTAAGGGGGGTGTTTCTGTATCATATTACTGCATGTCCATCACATTAATTTAAATTAGGATAGATTTAAAAAACGAGTTCACCCACAGTCTTCTCTCGATTTACAGCCAAGCTCATAAACTGGAGGAACAAGTTAACTGAGCTCTTCTTACCAATGTTACAGACAGCACAATTGTCCTTGAAAACTAGCTGAGAACCGAGAGAAACGTTGCCAATGTAACATATAGTAACACCTAAATCGTTTAAAATAGTCATGAACTTTATTAAAACGTCTGAACAGATCCAGTAAGTTTAGACAGCTGTTTAACATTAGGTAACGCTACCGTACCGAGCTGTAAATCACCCGCCAGTCGACAAGCTAACGTCACTTTAGCATGCGTGCTAATATAAATAAAACAGCTTCCATTAACTTACCTCATCAAATATTCCCTGAACTCTTTGCTCTTCAGGTGGTCGATAGCTTTCCGTGCAAGTGTCCCCGCCATGGTTTAACGCTGCGTAGGTGTGTGTTTTGGCTGAGAAGAGCACTCTTTCTCTGGTGAAGGGCGACTGAGAGCTCAGCTCAGAGGACGACCCGGCCCGATTTCCGACCACAACATTGGCGCTTTACGACACTGTCGCAAACACGCGGCGCGACCGGTTTGGAGCCTGCAGTCCATGAGCTTGCCATAGATGGGATTTATACAGTCTATGGATGGGACAGATGTGTTTCTCGCCTAGGTGAGGATCTGATTCTGACAACAAAAAAAGACAAGGAAATGTGGATGGAAAAGAAATCCACAGCGGAGCAGGGTGAAGACAGGTAATTTTGGACAGCAGGTAAAATGAGACAAATAAGGGTTTACATCTTAGGCTCTTTAAATAGCTTTTATTAGCAGCCAATAAGGTATACTGTGATATAAAAGTTGACCCTTATCATACATCTGCTTATCTACAATATTTGAAAAAAAAATGCAACTGGATGGAGCATCTCCCTTTTATTTGAGTTATTTTCAAAGGGGAGACTTTTACACATACTTCCATTAACAAAATGGTTTCAAGTTTCAATTATAGTGCTAAAATGTTTGTTAAACCAAAAATAACCCTTCCATGTTTATGCCTTTAAGGGTCATTCTGACTGATAATAATGTAAATTCTGTAATACTGTGATACTGTGACACTGGGATATTTTTCTGAGATGGTTATCGAACTGTGAAAATCTCATAGCATTGCAACCCCAGCAGCCAATCACCAAACATGTTGTTGCATTGTTAATACAAATGTGCTATCATCCCAGGAGGGAGCCCTTTGCATGTTCTCCCCGTGTTAGCGTGGGTTTTCTCCAGGTGCTCCTGCTTCCTCCCACAGTCCAAAGACATGCAGGTTAATTGGTGACTCTAAATTGTCCGTAGGTGTGAATGTGAGTGTGAATGGTTGTCTGTCTCTATGTGTCAGCCCTGCGATAGTCTAGCGACCTGTCCAGGGTGTACCCCGCCTCGTCTGTCCCATTGTACGTCAGAGTATGTCATCAGAGTGAGGCAGGGTCGGTTTGTCTTTTTCAAGTGCTTATATAGCAAATGGCATCTTTTAACACATATTTCCAAGGTGACAGTCTCTCTCATAAGGGCCCATTCTCTGCCCAACATATTGCTGGAGGGCCCACTCTCTCTGTGATTTGATAGAGATATTGATAGAGATGTAACTTAGACTCTTTAAACTGTTCCTTATTGGAGGGGCTAGAAGCATTATTAACTCCCTCACAAATAAATAACCTTCAGCCAAGACTCTTTTTGGGAGGAGACTTCATTTATCATATGGTCACACCAATCGGACAGACACCCCTCAAGATCCAAGGATGGAGTGAACAACCTTATTCACCTTTACAGTTGCTCAAACTTACTGGACATGGAGATTTTGCAACCAGTCTAATGGAGCAACAAAACTTTATCTCAGTTTTTAAAGGACTTTTGGCTCATTTCAACAGATATGGAAATACAGGTCACAGAAGTTGATGCAGCACTGCCATGACGTGTCCTCTTATTCCAGTGTGATCTTTCCTGAGTAGTATATTTTGAATATTGAGGAAGACACAGAGTTGTTGTCTGAGTAGAGTACTTACAACAACACAATCATATCTTCCAAAACATTCAAAACTTACAGTCGGGGCGTTGGTTGCTTAGTGGTAGAGCAGGCGCCCCATGTACAAGGCTATTGCCGCAGCGGTTCGGGTTTGACTCCAGCCTGTGGCCCTTTGCTGCATGTCACTCCCTGTCACGCTTGTCTGTCCTATCCATTAAAGGCTAAAATTGCCCCCAAAAATATCTTAAAAAAAAAACAACTTACAGTCACCATTAGTTGTTTTTAAACACAGTTTTATTCCTTGAAAAATGGAAAAAAGGAAAGTTAGTTGGCAAATTATTAATCAACATGTAAGGGGTGATATGATTGAGCTTTTTTCCTCTTGGCATAAGACAAAACACATGTACAGGGAATGTCAGACTTGTCCATCAAACTTATAAAATTAGTTTGAAATATAAGATTTAAACAAACCCTTGAAAACCATGCTTTGTCCAGGTTACGAATATCACAAGGCTTTTCTGTTTTATTTTATTTTCATTTTCACCTGCTTGGGAAAGAGGACAAGACAGTCAACAAAAATGACAAATTATGAATTAAATACATCCTGTTTGAGAGCTATCATACAACAAACTGTCTTACATATGCAGTATATGGCTTCTTTAAGTGTTAGATCTACAGTTAAGTCATAAAATGGCCGATACATCACTCGTAACAAAATTTAACTTGGTTTCATTGTGGAAAAACTACACAATAAGAATATGATACTGTAGAGTGACCTCATAGTGTTGATGGTGAGTTGGCAGAAACCTGCAGACAAGCAGAAGCCACTATTATTAGTATAGTGTCACCTACAGTATACACATGACAGCATGCTGACTGCTTTTTCCAATGCAGTGCAACAGTCTCAGAATACAGCCCATTGCATTTCATTGCATCTAAATTAATGGTTAAGCTCCATCTATAAATGTTACTCTAACCCAATGAGCTAAAAATGACAACTACTCAGAGGGAGACTGATCATTGGAGGAACGTGCTGATCCCTCTGTTGTGCACACCTTTTGCTCATGCTGATATTCACACATAATGCTGAGCAGATTCTCACTCCTGCATGATTTTATTAAAAATACCAAACAGTTTTTTTTTTTTTTGGCTTTTAGTGATATTCCAATATACATTTTTTCAATTCAACAGGCACACTAACACACACACCTCTTTGTTATAGCTCACTTACCACTCCTCAGTGTCTGTGTGTATCCTATTGGATTTCTGGATACCTGCCCATGTAATCTTCTCTCTGTCAGTCCCCTACCACCCGAGCAGTCCGGCGTTGTGTCCTTTATAGAGCAGCTCAGTGACAAGTGGCCCGCCAGTATCTTGACGTCATAAACCATAAGAGCCCTGAATGCTACTATAGTGAATTCTCTCACTCTATCTTCACGGGTGTGAGTCCAGCTGCTGTGTGAAATTTAGGTGTCCTTATCGATCCATGTTTCCTGTTATCACACTTCACTTCATTTAGCCTACAATACAATGTTCTCTGATCAAATACTCATCGCTGAGAGCCGTTGAGAGGATTTAAGTTCTCACAAACCCAGCTCGAAACAGTAGGTTGTCACAAAATTTCACACCCAACTATTGATTTGCCTTTACCAATCATCACCTAGGTTTTGTCCTGTGGGTAGGCATGTTCAGACACAAACGGATGTGTAGTGCTTACAGCTGAGATTGAGTGACATACCGCACCATGATGCTGTAACGACTAGAGAAACCACAAGCACAAAGGACTCAGAGACAGGAACTTGGGACAAAAAACAGTCTTTACCTGCCAAAAAAGGTTCAGTGTACAGGTAAACACTCTGAAGAACAGGCAGACAAATGTGGCATAGAGAAAATGAGGTAAGATTAACAAGCAGAAATGTATTTTAAAAAAAAAGGAAACAGAAACACAACACCGGCAGAAGTGCTGGAACTAGATAGAACTTGCACTGAGAGAGGGAAACATGAAGTATAAATACACTAGGGAGAAAAGGATAATGAAGGACAGGCAAAACTAACCAGGGCAGGAGATCACACAAAACACACAAGTACAGAAAGTGAAGTACTGAGAAGAGACGAGTAAACCAAAATAAAACAGGAACTGATGTGTGAATCATGGCGTGAGGGTCCAATGTCCTGTAGTGGGACCTGTGCTCACAGCCCAGCACCATGCAGCTCGACTGGCATTTGCCAGAGAACATCAGAATTGGCAGGTTCTCCACTGGCGCTCTACTTCATAACCACAGTAGTTCTGTCAAGGAAAGCAGCTAATATGCCTATTTGGAAATTAATACAGCTAAGTGTATTTCCGTGTATGACCCCGAATAGTAGCAATGGGTGTGTTTTTGAGGGGCGGATTTATTGATTTGGGGGCCCAGCCAAACATAGCCTTCATTCTTCATTCATTCTTTTTCTGAAGTAGAACTATTAACTATTATATCATAGGCCCATACATGCACAGAGGACACTCTATGAAATATTGTTATATTGATTATATTATGAATATTATCATTTATCCAAATGCATTTTATTCATGTGCAATAGCGAGGTATGTCATAATGTTTATTGTAGGCTATATTAGCGATGCATGGACTGCAGCTACACACACTGAAGTGATCCCATCGTGGCAGAAACATTAAGTGTGTCTCCCCAATAAGAGAGATGCAGCATGAATTTATGCACAGAGCACAGCAGCGTAACCTCATTGATTATTCACATTTCAAGTCCAGACTTGACAACAGGACTGGTCAGAATCTAATTTAATGAATGTTCTGTGTTCTCCTACACATCCAAAAGACCCACACACACACACAGTGCAGCGGGCTGGGTGCCAAGTTGAAGTGACTGAGGGGGCTGTAGCTTCACTCTAATGGATACTCAGTATTAATATTTGTGGGCATGATATTTAGTGACACTAGTAGTTATGTTTGAGGCCTATGATAAATTAGAGTGTGCAGCATGCCCTCTCTTGGAGCAGCAGGGGGCAGTGTAGCACTGGGGTTTGAAAATGCACTTAAACACAGATTTTCTTTTGCAGGATCAAAAGATATAAACACAACAATAAATATATAAAAAAATAAATTATATAATATATATATATTAATATAATTACATTGATATACAATAATTAAGTATGCACTGAGAGACAGATGGGTTAAAGACAGAGTAAAATGACACAGTGTTTTAATGGTGCAAGAGCAGATCAAGTTTCTGATTTGTGATTCAAAGTGATGTACCCTACACTTTCATATCCTCTCTGCTCTGTAGCACAGGGAGGTTCAGCTTCCCTGACCACAGCAACTGTGGGCACTGCTGGCATGCCTGCTATCCCCTCTCCTTCCTTCCTCCCCTCACCTGCATGCCCACACTAACTGGCCCAGAGCCAAACTGACTGTGGAGTCCTGTCTGCACTCTCCGCAGCCTCAGCAGACCCGCTCTCACTCTCCTTTGTTCCACTGAACTTCAGAGGAGGCCGAGGTATTCCCCTTCAAAAGTAAGTACCAGTGATAGCCCGGCCTGCTGTCACAGAGAGTGTGCTGGTTTCTTATGACCGTAGCACACAACCAGACTGAGATCAGGATATTGATTTCAGTGCCTGTGCACACTGCCAGCACTCATTAAGAGCGGTTTTTATCTACATGGTGTGAGTCAGCCGCATCGGGAGAGCAGTAGAGAAAGGGTGGTGGAAATGGAGGAGTGGGGATAGAAGGATGACAAGGTGGTTGTAATATGATAAGGGAGAGGTTGGGAGGAAAAGAGAGGACAGTGAGGGGTGAAAAGTGGAACAGCACAGACAAAAACACCAGATTTCAGACCAGGTGTTCTCAAAGGCAGACTTTCTCACAGCCCAGTTTGTGTATATTTGGGTATGTTGCTGTTGTGCACAAGGCTGGACTTCTCACAAGCAATGCTGAGTAAGAAAACAGAAAGTTGTAGATGAGCAGAGGGAGGATTTATTTGGGTTTTATAGGGGGACAGAAGTAGGAGTCTGGTTAAACTTTGGATACTGAATCACCGTCTCTTGTGGATCGCTGTGGGGCAGACATAAGAATGGCTTCTCATTTACTTCTCCCTTTGCTTATTCTTCCTTTAAGACAGAAGAGGCAGCGGCAGAGTGACGAACAGTGAAAGGCCTATTCTGCTGTGGTAATAAAGACAGAGTTTTTAATTCAGCCTGCACCCCTCAGCCTGTGACTGACTGGCTAGCATGAATCGTCTCCTATTTAGTCCTCTCTATTCAGCCATCACTCTCTGTCTGCTTCCCTATCTCCAAGCATCTTTTTTCTTCACTCAGCGTGCAATCTTGTTTTAGGATCCCGTGGCTACAGTCCCCCCCCTCCCCCCGCCCCCTCAGCCATGTCATCGGTGAGTCCCAGCCACAGTACGGATCCCCCTCTGCAACTTAAGACATCCTGCTTGTCTCCAGTGAACCTACACTTTTCCTCACTATCCTACAGATGCACATTTTGGTGGATGTCTTTTTCAGACAGTCGTGCAAAGCCAAGGAGTAGATAGACTGCCTGTGCAGCACAGAGGTGACACATTTCATCACGCTTCTCTAAAATGCCACGATTTTTCCAAATCTACATCTCCCTCATGAAGGGAAATCATCACACATACCTTACTCGCGGGGTTTTCTGTGTGTACTTGTTTTTCAAATTTAAAAGTTAAAGTTATTCATGCACTGTAAGAACACAGTGGCTCTTTGAGCAGCCTGTCTTTGGCTGTCTGTCCGCTGAACAGCAGTGCTCTGTGCTGCGAGAACTGAAGTGTTTCCCAAACAACCGCTGCTCACATATATCACTGCTTATATATATATATATCAGACTGCTCTTACAGCATATTGCAGAAGGTAGAGAGTGCAGTGAAATAAGACATTCAAACATTGTACCAGAGCATTTTATGCTTGTGCAAATGAAAAATGGAACTTTTTAGGGTTTATAGTGTTTTAATGATTGTATAATAGCTGTACTGAAACCAGGATATAAATACAACCGAATAAAAAAGAAAATTACAAAATCTTAACACATGTCCAGTATACATAACAAATGTCAACAAGCAGGACCGTCGTTTCCAAAAATAGGATTGTCCACATATTTTCTAGTTCCTTCAGCTGAATGATGTTTTACTGTTTGCTTCATCATGTCATTCACCTTTTATATCTCCAACACACATTTCTATATTTGCTCAATAAAAAAGTTTGAGTTAATCCATACAAAACCCTTGTTCTTATAGTGAAATCAAACAAAGATACATCACTCATTTTGGATTTCTATGGACAAATCAACATGATGTCACACTAACAACAACATACACTTCTGGGTATACAACTGGCCATTGGTTTGAATTGCAGAGATATGTGACACTGGCAAACATGTTTATTTCTATTGTCATTTTCAGCCATAACTGTAACGTTTAAAGATATATAAACACGATGGTCCCACCTATCGGACATTTCTGCTGTTATTTCATGTACTGTGTTGCTTTGCTGGCGTCTTTGATAAACCAAATCTACCAGCATGCAAGCAACGTACTGCTGTGGATGGGTGCCAGAGCAAAATGTAATTTAGCCAACTTAGAAGACCCATCTAAAGAAATCAGTTTAAGTATATACTATATTTGGATTATTTCCACCGCTTTAAGAAAGAATAAAGCATTACTTAATTAATCCCTTGATAGGAAATTCAATTTCACTTTGTTGTCATTTTTCAGTTTACACACGCACACACATAGGCCTGAAATACAGACACATGCACAAACAGGACCTAATGGAGAGATGTCAGAGCGAGGTGGCCTGTGGGTAGGCACCCCTAGCAGATGGGGGTCAACAGCTCAACAGTACCTCAGCAGTGCCCAGGAGCATGAACTTGCACCTCTCCAGCTACCAGTCCACATTCTGGGTTTGGTCTGTGCGGGTACTTGAGCTGGCAACCCTCCGGTTCCCAAGCCATGCCCCCACAGACTGAGCCTTACAAACAAACTAATCGAGGCAGCGGTAGACCAGCAACTCCTGTGTTTTTCGAAGTAAAATAACAGCTCCAGCTCCCAATTGGAAAAAACTGTCTGATGGTAAGTAAAGCAGTGAAAATCTTCTAAATATAGCAAACACTTGAACTATTATTGTTTTTTTAGGTGGGCCTTTTTTAAGGTGGCTAAAAACCAACCAACTGAGGCATCGTTTGCTCTGCGCTGTTTCATTTCATGTATGTGATGTGGGGGCTTTCTACCCAGAAGGTATTGTAAACAAACATTGTGATTCAGTCTGTAGCTTATCACCAATGCCCCCAAAGGACCCATATTCTAAAACATTTATTGCACGCAGCTGTGCAAGACAGATGTTGATCCATCCATCATTTGAGTCAGTATGTCCTATTCATGTCGCAGCAACTCCTTCAGCAACAGCACACTTTAAATATGGTCACCACGGTACATCAGATTATCACACATATGGAGTCCTTAGTTAAATCCAAACCAGACTTTTGTTTGGCCTTTGTGCTCTAAGTGAGTTTCCACTTTCACCTCTCTCGTTTTAGAAATCATACTGGGAAACAAACATGGTGATTTTGGTGATATACCTCCCCAGCTGGGCTCGTCTCTCCAGCTCGCTCATTTCCACTTCCGCCTCCAGTGTGGCAGGGCCCTGCACTGGGGTCACCAGCATCAGCTGACCTGTCAGACGATCTGAACGCTGGACCGTGAAGTGGCGCCGAGCTTGCCTTCCCCCCAGTAGGGAGAAGCGAAGCGTGTCACCCATTGGACGCAATGCTGAGACCCTGAACATGACGCGAGGGGCTGACAGGTTGGACACAACAGCCAGGTAATGGTAGGAGAAGGAGTTGGGGGTCTGAGAACATGCCTTGTTGTCCACGGGACAGGGGTTACGTTCACAACGCCTGGAAAAAAACAGAGGTGGTGTTCAAAGGAATCAAACTAGGTATACTGTCAATGTTTTTATTGTGCATCTCAAATGAAAAATCTTACTTGTACAATGGGAAGTGAACTTGGATGTAAAAAAATAACTAAGGATAATGCTCACATAGGCGATGTCTTGACGTATGTAGCATTAGGGATTTTGGGGCAGTCCACACGGACACACTGGAATCCACCGTATGTATTAACGCACATCTGGTCCTTTGTGCAGTTGTTTTGTCTGGTGGCACACTCATCAATGTCTGTGAGGAAACAGCAACACAATAAGATATTTATTCAGACAGAGAAGTTGGGATATCTTTCACACTGTATGAGAATGGCATTCTCCATTTTTGTGAACTGAAACCATTTTTGATGTGTTGTTATTTTGAGTTTTATCAGCAACATTTGGTATAAATACCTTGTGAAATACTTTCTGTAATATTGAATGCAGATTTTTGAAATTAAGAAAAAGAAAAACACACCTTTACAGCTGCGTCCATCGCGGGTCACATTGTATCCGGCAGGGCAGGAACAGCGGTAGCCTCCAGGGGTGTTAACACAGGTATGTAAACACAGTCTCCCAGCCTGGCCGTTATGGAACAGCTCACATTCATCTATATCTACAAGTATACAACGCACACACAGTTACCATCTCACATAGATAAATGTATGGTTTAGTCACAGGGCAGGTATTAGTCGTACCAGTGCAAGTGTTGCTGTCCCTGCCAGAGATGGTGTATCCCGGCTCACAGGTGCAGTGGGTGGTCCCCTGCGTTATAGTGCAACGTGATGGACGGACAATGGGCCCTGTGGTGGCAGCTGGCAAGGTAGAGGCAGCAGCCGTGGCTGAGGAGGTGGCGGCCGAGGTGTTTGTCATAGTGACAAAGACTAAATGAGGAAGACAGGAAAGAGACAAAAGTTAATGTTTTTTTTTTTTTTTTTAAGATTTTTTTTTTTTAGCATTTCTGCTTTTTATTGGATAGGACAGCTCAGAGAGTCACAGGAAAGATATGGGAGATAAAGGGGATGACATGCAGCACAAGGCCCAGGCTGGAGTCGAACTCAAGCCACTGCAGTAAGGACTCGGCCTTGATACTGTACGTGGTGCACATGCTCCACTAGGCGAGCTAGAGGGGCGGGGTGCAAGTGTTTTTATTTGCTGTAATATTTTCAGTTATTTTAAAGTTGCTATTTTCAGTCCATTAGAACCAGGCTTGAAAATGAGCTGCAGCAATATAAGCACCATAGACTGTAAAAATAATGGACCTTGCTACTATGACGTCACCCAATGGTTTGTGGACTCACGTTTTGAAGCCTCGCATTCGGCAACTCAGCTATTGCCATCTTGGTTTTTTGGAGCCATAAGTGACCATATTTGGGTGAGACGCTGGCGCTGTGAAGGAGTGAGGGGTGGATCTGACACTATGGGCAGACAGCCTGTCACTCAAGGTAGCCTGTCCTTAATTACATGTAACTTTAAGCCTCAATACAATGTAACAGGTGAGTTATATAAAAAATCACCACCCTACAGTTGTCATGATGAGGGTAATTAGCTATAGAGACTAAAACCATTTTTCGTACCAGGCTGTAAAAATGTTTATTCCTGCTATAAAGTTAGGGCAATTTAACATGGGGGTCTATGGGGATATACTGGTTTCTGGAGCCAGCCTCAAGTGGCCATTCAAGGAACTGCGGTTTTTGGCACTTCGTGTTGGCTTCATTTTTCAGCACCAGATGTTGCCGCTTGATAAGAACGAAGGATGTCTGCACCTCATCAGCTGACCACAGGATAGTTTTTCATGCTGTTTTAAATGTTTTAAATGTCAATCAGGTGAATAAAAAATGTAGCTGCTGTTGCTGGTAGCTTGACTATTTAAAAATGGCAGGTTTGTACGGGACACCATCTTTAACAAGTGACAATTCTAGTGACAATTCTCTCTGACCAACCAGTGGTCTGCAATGTTTTTACTTCACCTTTTATTGGCTCACCTCACTTGAGACCTTGACCAAGGTAATACTAAAGTATTGATATGAGCCTGAAAAAATCTGGTGTCTTGTGCTGCCCAGTAGCTCAACTGATAAAGCAGGTACCCCATAAACTAAGACTATGTCCTTGTTGCAGTGGCAGCAGGTTCAATTCCAACCCATGTCCCTCTGCTGCATGTCATCCCCTCTCTCTCCCTTCACTCTGACGCTGCCAAAAACAAAAATCTTAAAAAAATAAAATAAATCCAGTATCATGGTCAGTATAATGTTTATGTCTGACCTGTTTTGTCAGCATGCACCCATGGATGCAAAGCTTTGGAATTCCTCAGATACTAGCTCTTAGATATCATATCAAATAGAGCCTATGTAGGCCACTGTCTAATGAGCAACAGACCTACAGAAACACACTTTATGTAAGTGTGCAAACATCAAATCAATAGAGAAAAACAAACAAACTGGGCTCCAGAAATTTACAGTCCACCATATACATGAGGGGGCAGACTTCTGCCACTCAACCAGCATCGTTTTGGACTTCAGGCTGGAATTCAACAAAACCCACTATGTGGTATGTAGCACTGGCTTGTACTGGCAAGCCAAATCAGTGGCCAATGTAATCTCCTTGAGCAGACTGTTTGGACACAGGCCTATAAAAATATGCTCTGCATTAAAGTGTTGCCTTGAATATTTGTTTTGTTGCTTGATATGTATCTCCCAGTGTTAAGGTATCAACACATTTGGTGCAACAAGGACCCAAATCCCAGGTTAGAGCATAAGATGGTGAAGTAAACTACATCTCCAGCATATGTGTGTGGTCTGAGTATGTACTGTATTATACCTACATGTTGGCAAAGGGCTCTGGCAGGTAGCTCCAGCCCAGCCTTTGGCACAGACACAAGAAAACTGGTTCACTTCATCCACACATGTCCCACCGTTCATGCACGGAGAGGACGCGCACTCATTGATGTCTGGGGGAACAGACAGAAAGGAAGGTTATACAAGGAGACTCTGTGGCTACATTTGAACCTTTTAAATACAAGGACATATGCAACCAAATATCTTTGATGCTTACAGATAAGAGGATGTGACATCATTGCATATGCGTGTTTGAGAGTCAATGAGTGAAGAAAATGGAGCAGATAAGTTAATGTAGGGGAAGCTCTGTCTTGATCAAACAGCCTTTGAGCTGTTATCTTAAAGTCAGTGAGCTGTCACAGGTTGGAATATCGCATGTCATGGCATTCAGATAGCTCTCTGGACAACGACCAGAGTACATAAAGAGGAAATATGATCATGGGTCACATATGAAATGTAACTCTACATAGAAAAACGTTGACATGCATAATGCACAAAAAGAGGAATGGAAGCAGAGAGCAGAAGAGGGAAACATTACAAAAGGACGATGACAGGGTTGTAAAAGTGATCAGTGAGTCAGATAAGAGGATGAGTGATGATCAGGGTGAAGACAGGGAGAGACAATAGTGGAAAGAGAATGAGGAGGAGGTGGTGGAGAAAGTGACCATCACAGTGAGGCCAGGCGGCAGAAGATCAGCACTGGTGTCTCACCTCGGCAGGTAGACTGCTGGCCGCTCCAGGTCAGGCTCTCCTGACAAACCCTGCTCTCTGACCCCACAAGTTCATAGCCAGGGTCACACAGAACATGAACCTCATGACCCACGCTGTGTGACTTGCCGAGTTTCCTCCCATTGACGGGTGCGTCCAGTTTTGGGCAGGTACCTGAAGGTGATAAAGAAGCAAAGTGGCAGATATTTCAACATTCAACATTTAAATAAATTGGTCTTTGTGAGGGTTTTGCTTACTGTTGGTGGCTCTTGTTGTCTGCTTCCCTGGGCTGTTCTGCAACAGGTTTATTTTCTTCTTCAGGTTGCGAAGACTCTGCAAGTACGAGGCTTCGTGGGCTGAGAGAAGCTTCTGGACCTGCTTCAGAGAGCCCTGTATCTCCTGTCTGCTAGGACAGTCCTGGAACAAACCAAATATGATGACTGATATAATTACATGTTAATTAACTTTTCACAAAAACTTCTTGAAAGCTATAACTCACTTAAAATCAATCTGTATTTTTTCTTTTTTATTCAGGCAGATGCTATTTGCACCCAGGTTTATTTTACCTCAGGCAGGATACAATCAGTGGCCTCAAACAGATCAACAAGCTGAAGCTCTGGTGCTTTCAATTCGGACTGCTGTCTCAACTCATGTGGCCAGTCACCATCTACGAGGTCAGGCTGTCTCATGACAATTGATTGGAAAGACTGGTGAACGCAGAAGTGAGGAAGTGGCTTGGGTTACTGAGATGTCTCAGTAGCATAGGGCTTTACGGGAATGGGGCCCTGTCACTGGTCTGGTGGAGGAATACAAATGTGCCATTGCAAGACTGGAGATGACACTCATAGTATCTCAGGACTCGTTGTTAAGAGGCATTGCTCCAACCCTATCTGCTCTCCAGCACCAGGACATAGTGGGCCATGTCCAACAAGCCAGAGGAGGTGTTGGCCTGGGAGAACTGAAACCTATCAGCAAAAGGCTTCCCAAACTGAATGCGGGCTCCTGGTGGTTAAGGAGGTGCAGCACCAAGAAGAAGCTGCCAGGTATGCTGAAGTCATATCCCAAGCCAAGCAAGGCAGCTTTGACATGGTGGGATGCTGTCGCGAGGAGGAAAATCACATGGACTGAGCTGTGGAGTGTGGAGGCTAACGTGTTGAGCTTCACCATCAGGGCCATATGGGATATCCTGCCCTTTCCTACAAACCTAAATCATTGTAAGGGAAAAGATCCAGCCTGTCCTCTGTGTGCAGTTCTGGCAACCCTAAAGGACATCTTGGTAGGATGCAAGACCTGCCTGACACAAGGCAGATAAACCTTGAAGCACAACCAAGTACTGGCCTGAGCTAGAGTGCATGAAAGTAGCCAATGCTATGCCTCTCAAGACCTAGAAGAAGTTCCCACACCTTCCACCCTTCATCTGGGAAGGAGAGGAACTTGCGGCTAGCCACTTGCCTTCCTACTCAAGCCCACTGAATGCAGTTAGGGACTGGAAAATGCATGCTGACTAAAGCTAGAGAATCATATTCCCACCTGAAATTTGCAGCAACTGACCTGCGACAGATTCTCCGGGAGGAAGCCGTGGCCGAGGCTTGTGAGTGCAAGAAGCTGCGGAACGCGACGTTGAAGCTGAAGCAGAGGAGCAAGGCTGGAAGGTTGAAGTGCTTCCAGTAGAGCTGGGCTGCAGGGGCTTTGGTGCCAGTTCCACCACAAGGCTCCTGAGGGAAGTGGAAGTCAGAGGGCAGGCCCACAGGAAGGCAACTAAAGCCTTTGCCAATGCCGCAGAAAAGAGCAGTCACTGGTTGTGGCTGAAGAGAAGAGATCTCGCCTGGGCTCCCAAGTGACCATCTAGAGGCCAACGATGAGACACACCAAGAACTGATCAACCTGCTTTCACTCTGCCTTGACTAGAGTGTCTTGTGATAAAAGACGGTGAGGTCAAGGTCCGAAACCGATGACGTGTTGTACTGGTAGCTTCATAAGGTGGTCACCTCCAAGAACAACCCCACAACCATACCCAGGTAATTACAGCATGTCTGTTTCAGGTAAGTTCAAAATAAATATTTCTCATCATGAAGGAGAAGCTGCAGGACCACAAGCTGGTGATGTCATTAATGCACTTGCCAGATAACTTACTTAACATTCACTCACAAAACTCAAGATGATGTTTAAGGTTTTTATAGTCCAAAAATCTTTAGGTTTTTTTTATGCGTCTAAGCCAAAAAAATGTATTGACCTACAACAACACGCTCTGCATTTCATTACCTGAGGTAACCCTGCCAAAGTAAATCTGTTGCTTTATTACTCAATTGTGCAAGTTGATGGTTTGATTAAAAGAGAAGTATGAAATAAAATCATGGCTCTAAACAAAACTTGAAACACAGAGTCAGCTCCACTGCATGTAAACAAACGAAGGCTTGCTGAAGGAGTGCCCTTGAAGACCTGTGCAGCACAGAAACTGGGCTGTTATATGAGCAAGTAAATGCCCTAGGATCAGAGTATGTTTGGCCACTGTAAGTATTTGCAAGCAGGAACCTCCTCCTTTCAAAGCTACTGAAACTCAGTTATAAACACGGGAACTCTTTCTGAACATTTGATATTCTTATGATGTGGTTTTTAGGTGTGACCCTGTGTGGATGTTTAAAATCTTCAATACATAAAGTTATGTAACTGCCATGTGTCATCGAAGGAGAGGGGATGAAATCAGCGAATGCTATCTTTATGATGTGGTGGATTTAGGGTTTAAGGTCAGTCAGGTATAAACACCCTCAGCATAAACATCACCTGCATTACAACCTCCCTTTCTATTGGCCGCAGGGCCGAGGGAGTGGCGCTGACTTGTTTGCTATCCACGTCCTCCTCAACAGCGTCATTCTACACCCTCTGCCCTGTCCTCTCATGCATGTTTTCAGACAACCAATTAGTGTTTTCGTCCAGCCGGGGTTATGTAAGAAGAGTCAATATTTGTTGAAAACACCTTTCTGATTTGGACAGAACTGGGGTTTGGAGAGGCTTCAGTCCGTCGGGAGGGGTGGCTGGTGTTTATAGTGTAGTTGTCAAAGGCCTCTTTCTGCCTGTGCTAAGCGACATTTCACATGGCTTCATGTTAACTGGGTGACGGTGTGTAGGAGGCATGCAGGACTGGAGCTCAAGATGACAGTAAAGTACAGTACAGTACTATTAAATCTGACCAGATTTGTCGGATAATTTAATGTGGAACAAGTTTGAAATGCTGAAATGCAATTTTAAACACTCCATATAGGGTGCTGGGTGCCTCACTGACAATTCAAGATCACAATGAAAATAATTTCTTTTTTGGATTTTGTCTGTAAATAAAGTGCCAGGCTACATAAAAAGTGCCCTGGATCCCTGACAGAGGTCTGGGCTAAATATTTGCATATCAAGTAGGTAAGTAAGTAAGTAAAATTTATTTATACAGCGCTTCTTGCAGACATAGGTCACAATGGCATTATACAACAAGAAAGAAAACAAAGACAAACGTGACTACGTGAGCCACTTAGTTAAAGGTGCACAACTAGCAAAAGTATTTGCATAAAAAAGAAAAAATCACAGTACATGACAACATTTAATTTATTCAATAATTAAGTAATCCTGAATGTTTGTTATTAATTAGCATCCTGTCTTTTTGCAAAAGTGGCAAAGCAAGGTGAGTATCCCTGCTCTGAGGTCTTGCTCCTGGAGCCTGCATGCAAAGGGTTACTCAAAGTTTGCTCTGTTAAAATGTCTGTACGTGATGTCAAGTAAGGACATATACAGTAGGAGCTGTTTTGAGAAGGGCTACTCAAATTTGAATTTTTTTTTGCCTTTCAAGCCACGTGTAAAACACATAATGCAATCATTGATCAGTCTGATAGAATATAACCGTCTTCATGAGCAAGGTTTTGAACTCATTTAACTCAAATGATGTCACTTACACTAAGCTGCATTATCCTGTAACACTGTGTTCACTCACCTGTCCAAGTGTAGGATGCAGCGAGCAGAGACACAACAAGGTGAAGACAATCTCAGCAATCATGTTTCCTCTGATCCCAGTTCAACGCGGAGTCAACGGTCAGTCCTCAGATGTGTTAGAATTTGCAGGCAGTGTGAACTTTGAGTGCGTGCAGGGACTGCAGGTGAGAGAATGACCACAGTCTGCAGTTGGAAAAAGCTGCTGCAGAGAACTGCTGAGGAATGTTGGGTTTACCCTTCAAGAGCCAATCAGGCAAAGGAGACTTTAAGAAAAATGTGACCACATTATTATCCCTGTACTAAACTTGGTGTGCACTTCCTTTTCCGGTCAAAGCCGCTTAGGTTTTATCTTGTTTATACAGAAGTGGAAGAAAACTGACAGAGAATATGTTCTCAGCCATATAATAATCAGGATTATATCCTGGTTAGTTTTTAATGTAAGCTGTAGTTGTTTAATGTTTAATGTAAAATTACTATACATCATCTATTTCATCTGATAGAATCTGTCAGCTCAACATGAAATCAGAATGTTGCATTTACTCCCTGTGATGGACACAATGTTCATTCTCAGTGATGGAGAGCTACAGAGAAGCTGTGCCCTCTACAGGAATATATTCACAGATGCATTCATGACCTGTGTATTTGTCAGACTGAACAAAATATGACATGTTTTCCCCAGGTTTCAACAAAGACCTGACATGGCTATATTATGACAGCGATTAAGTGGAGTCAGGGAATATTAAAGATGAGTGATGATGACAGGTAGTAAATATTTATTTTCCCATTATATATTATTACTGAAGGCTGATAACAATGCTGGTTTACACTTATTTTTTCTAACCATACACCACCACTTTATCAAACAAAATTTACACCCAGCTCCCTGATGCTTTTTGAAACTTAGCACTCACAGTTGGCTTATAAACAGCAACATTAAGTACATATGTAATACCATTTTAACAACGGTAATAACGGTGTTATTACCTGACGAGCTCAGGCCTCCATAGTCAATATGTGGAAGGTCTGATACTCAGTTTCTGTACCCCTACATTCACCTTTGGGGGTACCCTACCTATAAAGAGGGGTCTCCCGCTTTACTTCTACCCTGTTGCTGTTTTAATTTCAGTGTTTTAGCGCTGTTGAACTGTGTTTACAAGTTCATTTTTCGGCCTAAACTTATTGCATAACATGACAACTTATTCCTGTGTCACTTAATTTGCGTAGGGGCTTGAGTTATATGGTGGGAATTGACTGAGGATTTAGTTTTTACCTCTTGCTGTCAGTTATGTTTTCTGTGCTTTATTGTACTGTATGATTGTAACATGGCTGCCTTTTCCTGTTGTACTCCATGGGAGAGGGCAGGGGCGCCGCCAGGAATTTTGGGCCCCATAAAAAAAAAATCACATTGGGCCCCCCCCGCGCAGCTGTTGTCACATATCTAGAACCTAACTGACCCATTTAAAGCTTTACATAACTCTAACTTTGAAGGCTTGCAACTGTCTTGCTTCTTGTATTTCAATACTACCCGTACAATATTTACTGCTAGGGAGTTGTACATGCAACAGTCTGCATACAGTATGTGATTCACTATTTGATGCAAGATTAAAAGCCGCCATAAAAAAATGTGCTAAAGGCCATCTTTTACAGTCTCAATGTAATTTTTATTGTAAAATCCCAAAATGGAAAATTCTCTTAACATTAATGAAAGTCTTAAAAAAACTTAAATACCCATTAACTTTTCAATCAAAATAAATTAAGATCATCATCTCAAAATAATGAAAACAGCAGATTTTTGAATTTAGCTGCACATATACCAACAAGAAAATAAAGTTGAAATGGAAAATGGAATTAAAATGTCTCATGGAGGTGCTACTATCATCATCATCATCATTATCATCATCATCATCATCATCATCTGCACTGTTACTGTCTTTCCCTTCTTCTTCCACTTCCACACTTCTTCCTGACCAACCCTGAGAGGGCCCTGGCTCTGTAGGATGTACACAATGCATGTGATATATATGGTATATACTGTATATTAAATTATGCCATATACCAATAAATGAACAACACTAAATCCTACATAACACTGACCCAAATTACCTACAGTTCTGTATCACCACCACTAGATTACATACATTAGATACATGTTTGTGTTTTGTGCCCTTCATGAGGGAATAATAAAGTCTGTATCTATAGATGTCATTTAACGGCCATAATTCAGTCTAAATGAAAGCATCTAACTGCAGAAATTATTTTAATTATTTTAATATTGCCTGTAACTTTAATACAGGCTGAGTTAGGCTACTTAATGTTTCCAACTGTCCAGCATCCAGTACAGACAGTTGTAGGCTGTTTTTGCTTCATAATAATCATTATGTGGAAAAATATTTTGTTTGAATTTCTGTCATCAAAAAATATTTTGTTTGCACCACTGGGAGAGGGGCTCAAGTTATATGGTTGTAATTGACGGAGGGTTTTGTTTTTACCTCTTGCTGTTAGAGTTGTCAGGAATAAACAGAGATTGCCTCCAAATATATCCACATTCTGGGCCTCTTCATATCAACACAACGCAGACAACACTAGAGTCCACCAGTTCCACACATATGAAACGTGGGTTTTCGGGGGTCCACCAGAAAATTCTGAGCATCAAACACTTAATTTCCTGCATTGTGGTTGACTATTATGCGACAATTTGTGCATTTTCTGCATCAACTAGTGGTGTAAATGTCTTTAATTTTGTCAAAATAAAGGTTCTCTGCCATTTTTGTGCTTTTATTGTATTTTAAATATTGAGGGGGGGTTTTCCCTGTGTCCCCCCCCCGAAACTTATGCCTATTTAGCAGGTAGTCAAGTTGCATCTGTCCACACTGGCTTCATTGTGAGCTTTACTTTGCAAGTTGTCTGTACTGTATCTTCAGCTTTTTTTTCTACTGTCAGTTATAAAGGAAGTAAAATTGCACCTGCTGTTCCACAGATAAAACTGTCTTTGTAGAAGATCCAGTCATTTAAATTAAATAGTGAAGATGTGAGTGAGTCTCATATGAGTTTGCAGCTGAGCTGTACTGCTGCAGAGAGAACATTAGTGGTGCAGATGGACTTCCTTTCTCAGGACATGCAGCCGACACCACTGCAGTTCAGAGAGTGATGAGGATGCCCGGGCTCTTGGGTTCTGCTTTGAGCTCGAGCAGGAAGCTTGCAGTGGCTCCTGCCTGTGTTAGATTTACCCAAGGAATCATCTTAGTGGGTGGCCGAGTCTGACTGAGCCTGGAACAGACTGTGTGTGAAGCTCTCGTTTGGCACAGCAGGGTCAGACAGTCCTTTACTGATGCAGCAGAATCAAAGAGATAAGAAACAACTGCGCAGCCGGGGGACTGAAATACACTCAGCCCACTGGGGAGAGAAATGAGTGCGAGTCTATTGTGTCGCTCTGCAGTCATCTCCAGACACTGAATCATCCCACAATGTGTGAAGCATGATTCATGCTTCCCACACTGGGTCCTTAAAAAAACATTGTCACCTTGTCCAAACAGACACCCAGACAGCTCCATCCTGTACCTCTCCACACTCACACCTATGTGGTCATTTTGCACCACATAAAGTTCTGCTACACTTTGAAAAAATATCCCAAACTGATTTTGCTAGACAACAGCAACGACAAAAGAAAAACAAACTTCCTACACCTCAGCCTGCCCATCGCTCCGGAATAAAGCTTCATCTGTAGTGATTCAGAAATGATGCACATCGGTCTCTCAAAACAAACGTCCCCATTTTACAATGATGAACACTCACGCTTGACAAAGACTTTAGCTCGCTTTTTGTTGAAATTGGGAAATGATGAAAGAGATGATTAAGATGCTTTAGTCATGAATGACTGACTGGTACGAGCAGAAAGTAGTATTTACTTTAAACGTACTCAAGCACTATACTGCAGTGGTGTAGTGGTGGTTGATGAGTTGGCTGTACTACTAGATAGATGTGTAGGTTTTGGAGGAGGAAGTGGGTACACTATCCCATACATATACATGACTTTTTGGCTGATAGGTGGGTAAACTGTGCACAGCTCAAAAAGGAGGTGCGTATATCCTTCACTACACCACTGACTCCACTACACTACTGACTAAAGTTACTGTTAGTTAACTATGGTTTTAAGAAGTTTGTACTGAGTAGCAGGTGGCATCCTCCTAGCCAACATTTGTATATAGGGCCCATGTGGGTAGTAAATGGGCTGAAAAACAGGCCCTATATGGGATTATTCACAATGGTCCCATGCCAGTTGCCCACAAGCATGGGTTTACCTAAGTGAACTTCAGATAAGGTGTCCAGTTTGGGCCTATACACAGTTAGCATAGCATAACCCATGTGGAGCCCACTTGGGTAAACCCACTTTTGTGGGCAATTGGCACTGGGTCAATATGGAACTTGTGGACAATCCCATATAGGGCCCATTTTCCAGCCCATTTAGTACCCACAAGGGCCCCACATACAAATGTTGGCTGGGTTGTATGGTAGCCTCAGTGACTGGTGTATGAATGGGTGAATGTAGCATGTGGTGTAAGAGCACTTTGGGCAGACTAAAGAGGCATCATTTACTCTTCGTAAAAATTCTAATCCACCACATGTGAGAGAAAGCACTTTCACTTACATTTATTTTGCAGATATTGTCATGCTTAACAGATCATGATTTTACACACAAATGATCATCTTTTAGGTAAGTTGTTATAAATACACAACAATCAAAACTCTACCATTTACAAAATTAAAAAGCTGCTCACATGTTGAGAAATCAGTGATAATAATCCATAAATATACCATTAAAATTCAAGTCAGAGAGGGGACACATATTATTTTAGTTAATAAAAAAAAAATGAAGACTTAAACTTTTAATTCAGCATATTTACACAAGTTACTTTTCAATAAATGTCAACACTCTTGCCACAATCTGCTGTGATATAAAGTAATAATAATAAAAAACAATTACAAAAAATACATATTTCCATTTATAATATTCAGAAACTGTGTTACAAGACATTTTTTTTTGTTCCGATTCAGTCATATATTTCCATATTTGTTTTTGATCTAGTAGTTAAACAAACAGTAATTGTACAGTATAGAGGTATGTCTGTTGTAGCAGATGTATTGTTGGATATATTGTGATGTTTGTATTGTGGTATATGAACTATGGTATGTGTAATGTGTGGATTGTGGTTTGTGTGTTTTATTGTGCCTTCCATGTTTATATTATATTGTTGTAGTATTGTGTTCTATTTAAACTGTATATTTTTTGATGATATTAAGGTCTACATGTAAAAGCCCAGCTAGGGACAAGAGTTAAAAATTAGCAAACTCTCTGTGTAGCACATCAGTCCCATACTCAAACTATGTTAAATTGCATGCTCCCTATAACCTAAATAAATACATAAATAAAATAAAAAATAAAAATGAGAAAATTTTGTCTTTTTGCCTGAAAAGCCTTTCCTTTTTATTCTTTGAGAATAATATCCTCCTGCATGTTTTACACAATAGCACAATAACTTCAAACACTTGCTCTTCGGTTTTTAACTAGCCAAAAGAAAGTTTATCACGGATTTAATAAATTATGAAAGGTTACCGACACTCTACAGTGAGTCTACTTGCAGGGACAGTGAGCTCCCTTTGAACAGAGACATGTGCTGAGCCGCAGCAGGGTGAGAGCTGTTGAAGTGAAAAGAGGGAGGAGAGGAGCAGGGAGGCAGGAGGAGGAGAACTGGGAGCAAAGTGCTCACTGTTGTTGGAGACACTTCACAGTCCACAATGGGGTCTGGACCAGCGTCCCGGTGTCTGGATCTGTTTGTCGTTTTGTCTCTGCTGCCCGCGTGCATCTACACGAACCGGATTAACAGAGACACACCGGAGCTCCACAAGTCCACCATCACCGGTAAACACGCAGTCAGGTGGCCACGCGGGACAATAGGCTGTTATTGTCCTTTAATGAACTAGCACACATTTTTACTGTTATAGACATTTCCTTCTTATTTAAGCTATAGCCAGCAATAATAAGAGACTACAATTGTATAAGTGGAAGTTGTTATCTTATGTTTGCAATCCTTTAAGCTGCAGACTCAAGGGTTTTTTCTTAGCTGTCCAAATCCTTCTGGCAAAGCACCAGCAGCCCAACTTTTTCTGTCGCTGCCTGCTGTGCTACAGGAGTTTGGCATCAGCTTAACAAATTGCCATTTTGGTGGCATGTTGCCAAACGCAAGCAAAATCATTAATCCATCACTGGGGAGCTGAATCTCTACTCTTTAAGTTTTTTTTCTCTCTTTAAACTGCGCTCAGACGTAGCCTAATAAATAAGTGACTTTGATCAAAGCAGATCAAAAGCTACTCTAAAGTGTCATTAATCCACAATCTGTTCTTACAGTAATGATTTAATTTAATGATCTCTGGCATCTTAATATAGGGATATGTAATATAGGCTTTATTAAGTATGGTTGACATTTCAAAGTAAAGCAAAAACTTAATTTTAACCTTTATCTATGAGCATAAACCTTTAATAAATTATTTACAACACGTTATATAGTTATACTCAGATATAAGGACATTCTGTGTGCATATTAATGTTCTGTAACTTTGAACAATTATAATTTCTCCTATAAAGACATCATTAGAACTGTGTTACATTGATATTTATCGCCGATATTTATATGTTATGTAGCACCCATATACAAGGGTGTAGATCTGGTTACACATTGAGGTGGGGGACATATGTTTAGGGGTCCTCCACCAGAAAATTTTGAGTATCAAACACTTTTCCTGCACTGTGGTGATTTTTATGTACCAATTTCAGCCTTTTCTGCATCAGTCTATGGTGTTTTATTCATGGGGACAAACACACATGTTTGAAATATTTAGAGGGATGTGTCCCCTGGTTTCCCCCCAACCCACAAAATCTACACCTAGGCTTATATATATAGGCCTAAAGCATTCTGATCTTGTATAATGGCATGTGGTTTACTTCTGTTTGAAGGGGACGTTTGTCTACTCAGGGCATGACAGTAATTGAAAAAATATTGTTTTGAGTTTTGATTGAAATTTTGTGTGTTTAACTCAGTTGACCCTTGAGTTTAATCATCAGTGAAACTGTGACAGACTGTATTAACCCATGCTCCAACCTTTACACACACACACACACACACACACACAAACATCCCGCCAAGACATTTGCATTCCGTTGCCATGGTGACAGCAGCAGAAGCATAGTTACTAAATAAGCGTTTCTGTTTTTCTCCCAGGGCTCGGGGTGAAGGAGCACTCGCAGATTGTTGCACAGCACAATAGACTGCGCAGCCGGGTCAAACCCATGGCAGCTAACATGCAAAAAATGGTTTGTGGCATCTATTGTCTGTGTCTCCAGTGTGTGTGTGTGTGTGTGTTTGAGTGGTGCGAATGCTGCTGTTGCCTAAAAGTGAGTTCAGAGCAGTTCAACATTATTGACATTTTGCACTGTTATTAAAAACCTGAGGTGGTGCACAGTCCGGTCCACACTGCCGATTTTCACACAAAAGTTTAATTTGCACTTTTGTCTCTTGTCAAGTGTTACTGTTCTCTGCTGAAGACTTTCTCTCTCCACTTATGGAAGATATCTGGCCATGTGTTGCAACCAATATGCTTGCAGCTGCCCGTGTAAAACCCAGAGAAGAACAGTAATGATAATGATGGTGTTAGTAATGATCAGACATGTTGTGCAAGGATGTGAGACCCTGTTGATGTGGATGTGAGCCAACAGCGCTGAAAGGCCCGCAGCACCAAAAACAAAGTCCAGGAATTTGAGCTGTGTTTTTTCTGTTTCTCTAATTGCACCAGTTACAGTAGCAGCAAAGGGAAAGTACAGTAAGGCACACAAAGTGTCTAATCTACCAAATGTCTCAGAAAACAACATCTGGGACCAGGAAGGACACCTGAGAGTGACCATTGTTGTAGTCCGTGTACAAGGCAACTGTTATTATAGTACAACTCCATCAAAGCTGCCATTGTTTTTTCCCCCACAAAGACATATTCCTTTTTCAAAAGCGAAATCACTGAACAAATGCTTGGATAAAAAAGGTTTTTTAGTTGAGCTGTCTTCCTCTGTGGTGCTGATAGTCTCAACAGTGTGAAATAGTAGTGTTAGTGCATCATTTGTTCTGCTCTGCTGCAGGCTGAGTGATAGTGTGGACGGTCAGAACGAAGCCAAAATCAAATAGCAGTGTGTAGTCTTGCCGGGGTCACACAGTGAAATGATGCCACTGACTGTTTTATACCAGAATAAGGATAAAACTAAGAGACATTTTAAATTTGTTAGCCTCCAAATACTGTACAGAAAATGCAGCTTGACTGATAAAAACAGCTAGAGAGTCATGGGCGTTGCCAAATGTGCGGCAATTCTTAATATTAATTTTTGACTCAGGTGTTTTTAATCCCACTCTCTGCAAAACATTCAGCTACAGTAAATCCTCCCGCTATCTTCTTCCATCTATTGCTTCGCCATACAGTGCTTATCTGCACAACTGTCTCGTCTGCATGTGATTATGACGGAGAGGTAATGATGGATTATGAAACCCACAATGCACTACATATCCTTCGGGCCTAATGTGAGATTTGTACCAGGGCAAACTGTCACTTTGTCATAGATTACATCCTCAAAGCCACCCCTGCAGACTGAGCCCCCTTTCTTCGACTGCTCTTCAGCCTCGGAGAACTGTTCTCAACTGATAAGGCAGTAATGAAAAAAAGAGGATGTGGATAATCATTCTGCATTCACAACTCTGGTATTACAGGTAATTTCCCCATGAAAAACCCTCAGAGGAAGCTTTGCTGAGCTGAAGAGGTATATTAAAGAGCTTTACTGATAACTGTTAAAAGGCTCAAGGCTTTGCTGTGTTTGTGAATATCTGAATAAGGGTTTTTTTTTTCTCCACACAGGAACGAACCAGTAAGCATTGTGGAGAGATTGTGTTGAAGTGATTATAATTTAGACCTTAAGGCTTTGCTTTCAGGCTGAGATAAAATACCAATATTTTGTAAATGAATGATGCTCCTCCCTTTCTTACCCAACACCCTGTCTGCGGGTTTTCTTTGAGCTCTTGAGGAAGTATTATGAGGTCATACCATCACTTTCCAAGACAGAAATTCAAAGTTCAGTATTTACTTTTGATATGTAAATCATGACCTCTGTTTGTGAAATTGTATTTTATTAATCTCTCTCAGAACTGTCGAGCTCCAGCACTTCATTTAATCGCAGTTAGGGTGGAAAGAAAAACAGATCTTTTTGCAGCAAATATATGGAGCTTTATTGATTTAGCTAATTTGGTTTACAACAGTATAATGATAGGGGTGCTCAAAGACACTCTACTTAAGTTAAAATGATAATAAAACACACAAAAAATGAAGACACAATATTAATCACACATTAAAAACAGTTCTGAACAGGTGAGTTGTGGTTGGTGATTTGAACTGGGACTGATTGGTACAGTCTCGGATGTGTTTAGAGAGAAAGTTCCAGTCTGTCTCTGGGTTTGGCCCTGAGTTGTGTAGAAAGGAGGCTGGCATCAGTGGAGCGGAGGCTGCAGGAAGGATTGCAGTGGTGGAGCAGGTCAGTGATGCAGGAGGGGGCCTGGTTAAAAAGAGCTTTGTGAGTGAGGAGAAGAACTTTGAGTTGGATCAGTTGTTGGACAGGGAGCCACTGGAGGTTCTGGGGGACAGGGGTGACGGGATCACAGGAGCAGGAATGGGTGAAGCTCATATAACGGTTGTCGATGGTGCCACAAAGACGGCAATTTGTAGTACTTCGGAGTACAAACCCACATCTGTCATAGTGACACATTCAAATCCCACAGCGGATGCAACATGGCATGCTTTGAAATGAAATGTCTTAGATGAAATATTGCCCAGTGACCTCTGGTGGCATCATAGTGTGAGCTGATGGCTTTGGCTGGTTGACATCAGAGAGCAGTGAACAATGGAGTCAAGGGGGCTCAGCCTTTCTACACCACATGTCAGTGTCATACCTTGAGACAAGCTGGCCCCACAAAATGTCAAAGTCACAGAGGGTTAATGGGATTAGGAGCATTAATGACTGAATTTCCAATTGTTACCTCTGGCACTGCAACTGTAGGTCAACGTATCATTGTGTAATAACAAAAAGTTATACACAGTCAATGGTTCTTACATCTGACAAATTAGCGCCCCTACCGGTTACATTAGGTTTAGTTGTTATCAGGTTACATTAAGTACATAATATATACCAAGTTCGCTCCTATTTAGTCCAGTGATTATTGCTCTCCAGGCGGGGTATGCGGCCCACTGAATATGTGTTTCTACTGCTGGCCCTGCCTAGGAGTTCCAGCTCGGCCCATAGGCTTTACAATGTGATGATATCTCAGATTTTTAAATTGCTTTTCTTAGCTCAAGGAAAGTTTTATAAGGATGAAACCTCCAAAAACGAGGGGTAAAAAGTCATAATAGAAAATATAATTATATAATTCGGGTGCCCCCTAGCTCACCTGGTGGAGCAGGCACCCATTGTACAAAAGCTGTGTCCTTGTCAATTCCAACCCACGTTCCTTTGCTGCATGTCATTCACACTCTCTCTCCCCATTTCATGCTAAATCCGTCCTGTCAAAAAAGCCCCAAAAATATCTTTTAAAAAAGAAAGAGTCATAAATGACCTTGTTTGCACTTCGAGGTGTCCAGTCAACACTTTAACAGACGTCTCTTTTATAATTGTGGGATTTTTTTGCTGCAATACCACGAGCGGCCACTGGGAAAAATTGGCAGCAAGGCTAAGCAGCATTAATGGGAGGCCTAGATTTTAGGGAGTCTCAACCATCCAGCCCATAAATTTATAGACAGAACTAGATACATTGTTGGAGGCGGATCCCAGTTCAATCCCTTGAAAGTTGCTCAGTGGAGCATGAAACCAAAGACATTCATCTCGAATCTTCTGCATCATTGGATGCATAGAGCAACCACACTAGAGACTTTGCTGGCCAAGTGGATAACTTCTGGTTTAGCCATCCACTAACTTAAATGGGGATAAAATGATTTAATTGTGCTGCTCTTCAAGACTTTTGAAATGTTATCGCACCAAATAGATCCAACCCAGATAGTGAAACGTGTCATTTTGTGGGGATTGTGACACTCAAAAAAATGTATAAAGTAATTTACAAACTTCTCTTTCACAAAGCAAGTCTATGGAAAAGAGTCTTTTTGGGGCCCATGGCCCTTTTTGGGGCCCATGGCATCTCGTAACTGACCTGGAAGTTGTAGTTTGGCCACTATGTCAAGTTGGCTCCAAAGTCCAGTGCACTTCCTGGGGGCCTGACCCGACCACCTCCTGATTTTGTCGCTCTTTATACTACATCACTTTATGTCCTCCTTTGTTAGCCTGCAGCGTGTAAGTCACATGATAGCAGCCTTCTTGCTCACATTTATGTGGGTAATATACGAATTATAGTGCCAACGGTGAATTAGAACAGCCTGAATAGGTATGGAAAAAGTATCTTAGTAACTTTAGAAACCCTTGATGAAGCCATTATTCACAACTTATAAATGGTGCCTTATTAGAAAGTGCAACCTACATGACTTTAAAACATACCAGTCCTCTTCAGAGGTGTAATGAACATGTGGAAATGCAGAAATGATAAACATTCAACTTCAGTCATTCATGTCATTTCATTCATTATGTTTTTTCCTTCCAACCTTGACTCTGTAACTTTCCACATGTTGTTGCCTCTCCTAGTATTGAGAGTACCTGAATGTGATGTTTGTACTATAGCAAATATGGCAGAGTGATTGATTGTGGAAAGTTTGTGTGTTGTTTGGTTGAATCAGCCACTGCAAATCTTGGAAAATGTGCCCCTCAGTGAAGTGTTTATACCAGTGTAGCACACAATGAGTGTCAGTCTGTGTTTGTTGGCCTTGCCATGCACTGGCAGCTCGCCCAAGGTGTCTCCCTGCCTGTTGCTCGCTGTGCGACCGCAGTATGACTGGCTCCGACCCCTGAAAAGGATTAAGCGGGTAAAGAAAATCACTCATGCACTATTAGGAATGACCTTCATGCCAAAGAGTTTTTCCTTTCATCCAGTTTTAATCAGTATCTACAAAGTACAATTTGACCTTCATTTCAGATTTAAGGTGCAGCTCCAGGTCTGATAGACTCCAGTAACATATTTTGATAATTAAATGAGTTGATGGTGAAAACGTCCTGTCAGTAATTATTGATGTGATTGCTCATTAATTATATATTTTAATAAATAATTGATTATTAATTATTTATGTGGAATTAAACGGCTTCAGAGAGGATTTATGAGTTTCTGACGGACGTGAGTCAGCTGACAGATGACCTGTGACAAATCAGTCAAATCTGACAGAGCTATACGAGATAAATATAAAGGATTTGTTTGACCCCTCTACTGAAAACCAGGAAGAGTTGAAAACCTTTGATTTTATCAAACAGATGCACTATTAAACATTTTAATCAAAACACAGAGAATACTCCTGAAACACACTTTAACATTAACTCCAGTCTTCTGTCAGGCTGCTGGTTAGCAGTTGACCTCCCCATGTACATGTAAGATACAACCAGAGAAGGCTCAAGTGTGTGTAACAAAATTACATTGTCCTTCACCAAGTTTTACTGTAAATATTATAAGTGAAAGATGTATAATAATTTTAAATGTTGTTATCGTCTCTATAGGAGTGGAATGAGAAATTGGCCTTACTTGCAAAGGAGAGGGCGGCATCGTGTCACACAGACCCTCCTCCTCAACACTCCTCATCTTTCACACATGTTGGCTGGAACATACATCTCTCTGCATATGGTGACACCTCGTTTTCTGATGTTATTCAATCTTGGTTTGAGGAGGGAGAAGATTTTCTCTACTTGAGTGGGCACTGTAGGGAGAACGCCACCTGTCAACACTATACACAGGTATTAACAAGCAGATACAAACTGTACTTGTGTTTCTGTGGAAGCACCCATTTACAGACGCTCTCAGATATTTATGTGTGTGTTTATTCTTTAAAGTGCTGATGTAGTGTGTCTGAACCTTGTGTTGTTTTGTAGCTGGTGTGGGCCACTTCGAGTCACGTGGGCTGTGCCAGCCAGCTGTGTCTGAGAGAAGGAGACCTCTGGGAAATCTTTGTCTGTGCATATTATCCTGGGTAACAACACTTTATCACCACTTTTTCCCACCAAAATGCAGTTTGAAATTAATAGAAAATGATTAAATTAATTAAAAATTTTAGTATGCTCAGTTTTAAACAAAATAAAAACAATTTAATCTGCAATCCAGATGATGAAATCCAAGCATGAATACCAATTATTACGAATGATCAATACTGCTTTCCAGGGAGTCTTTGGTACATATATTGAAGGTATACTATGCAGGATTTGCCTAAAAAATAATGAATACACTCATGCAAAAGTGATACCTCTCAATCATCACTTATGACCCACAGAAGTGTGTGGTGGGGAATCTTTCAATTTTATCTTATTTTATTCTCATTTTGTGGTGTTCGGGACATACCTGGGCACAGCACGCAGGTGAGGTTGGAACCATAGACTATATTAAATAATGGCCATCACCCGTTGGTTTGCGGACTCCTGTATTGAAGCCTTGACTTTTGTACCAGAAGTGACCATATTTGGATGAGAGGGTGGAGTTAACCCCAGTGCTACCTGGATTAGTATGGTGCATTTACAGCTATAGTTAACTGTCATAAGGTTAATGCCAATTTTTGCTAGCCAAAAACAGGCTTAAAACCATTATAACAAAATGTGCTTACATGCACAAACAGGACCTATACATGCACAAAGTGGAGAGATGTCAGAGTGAGGGGGCTGCCTTGGTGGGGCACCCCGAGCGGTTGGGGGGTTCAGTGCCTTGCACATGGTACCTCGGCAGTGCCCAGGAGGTGAACTGGCACCTCTCCAGCCACCAGCCTCCATATCTGGCCCAGACGGGGACTCGAACAGGCAACCCTCCGGTTCCCAACCCAAGTCCCTGTGGACTGAGCTACTGCCGCCTTCGAGGCTCTTTTAGTGAAACCAGAAGACGAACAAGACAACCACAACGTTATGATTAACTTTGATTAACTGAGAACACAGTGAAACAGTGACAGCTACAGTGACACCTGTACTCTGTGAATCTGGGGTTATGCTGTAGTTACATTACCTAACCAATGTTTTTGCTGCGCTAGCAAAACATCCTACTGTCACTCAAAGCGGACACGCCCTTATTATGCATACGTTTAATCCTTAATAATATTTAAACTAGTCCATACCTGGGGATGTGTTATGTTTAGAGGAATAAGAAATCAAAAACAGTATATTAGAGGAGATGCAAAATGAGAGCACTGTAAATGCACTGTGAAATAAATATTAATGTAAGACAAACAATGTACACTGTATTTAGAAACATGCTTTATGGCAAAATATGTGCAAGTTCAGAGAAGTAGGTCAAAGCAGTGAGGAGGAAAACGGATGATGACAGACAGACGGACGGAGGGACAGAGGTTTCTCCATTTAATAGTAGGAAGGATGAGTGAGTCATACAAAAATTCACCCCCAGTACAGTTGTCATGACCAGGAAATTAGCTTCAGAGACTAAAATGTTTTTTTTTTGTACCAGGCTGTAAACTTGCTTACATATTGGGCTTTTTAACATGGGGGTCTATGGGGACTGACTGTTGCTTTTGGAGCCAGCCTCAAGTGGCCATTCAAGGAACTGCAGTTTTTAGCACCTGATTGGTCAGGACTGTATAAAAATGTAGCAACTAGGTACCAGACTGTGAGCGGCATGCATCCAAGAGAATACTACGGAAATCATGGACCAACAAACGCAACTACAGCAAGGTGAAATGCCAAGCGGAGAGAATCTGGGGTGGGCTTTCATTTTTGCTGGTGTTACTGTTTACAAATAATAACCGACAATTCCTGCATAGTATAACTTTAAAAAAGAAAAGAATATGTAAAACTACCTGTATGAAGGCCTCAGAGTATGATTAATGTAAGTCCTTGTTCTACTTGTGAAGATTTTGTTTGACACTTTTAACATTAACTTTCAGCCCCTTGCAGCTATTCTAGATCTTGTTCAAGTGTATGTTCTGCAGTATATATTTGTGTCGCTGCAGGGGGAACTGGGAGGTAAATGGTCGCCTGGTGATGCCTTATAAGACGGGGCTGTACTGCTCTCTCTGCACCTCCTCCATGTCTGGCTGCTTCAGACTATGGGACCATGTAGGTGGATTATGTGGTAAGACAATATGTAAATATATAGGTTGCTACAGAGGCTAATATTACTGTCATGGGACATTCATAATATCTTTCTGAGGGTGCACTTAGTGAGGTCCGCTTTAAAATATTAATGGTTTCCATTAGGGCACTCCACAAGGATGAAACACAAAGCCTGGAAACAGACTTGCATGTCATACTTATTGTATGTAGAGAGGATAAAAATGGTCCTGTTTCTACCACTACTACTACTACCAGTAAAGTAGTTACATTCATTATGCTCCTTGAGGCCGTTTCTGCTCATCTACCATCAATGTTATAAGTACTGTGATTGTTTCTACTAGTTATTTTCTATGCATGCTTGCTGCTCATGAAGTGTTTTGTGTGTTCGGTATCCAGCCTATATTAACCGGCTCATAGTTTTGCCTACAGTGACAGCTGATTTGGGTAAAATGATCTGATGTGTGTGTTTGTTGATGTGTGTGCACATTTGTTATCAGAGATTCCACGGAATCCTTGTCGAATGAGCTGTGGTCAACACGGCCATCTTAACATCTCTTCCTGCAAGTGCACGTGTGACCTGGGTTTCACCGGACGTCTCTGCCAGGGTACCAGTCATCATAGTACACATATTGGTATCAGGCCCCATTCAGTCGGTCTGTTTTCCTAAATATTCAAAGCAGAGAGGCAGTATTCACTGTGCCAAGTGTCTGTTTTTCAGTACGGTGCAGTGTGCAGTGTGTACATGGTCGTTTTAAAGAAGAAGAATGCTCCTGCTTGTGTGATGTTGGCTTTGGTGGTGCTGAGTGTGCAGGTAAGTGCAGTGTGCTTCTTTGTGTTTTTATATACCTCAGTAATTTGTACTCTGAGACACAGATTGGCTTCAAATTCAAAAGCACGCGCAGGCACACAGACGCTAAGGGAATTCATGTGGTTGCCGCTACAGTCTGTATTTATCTTTAAGGGATGCCAAGTCTGACATGGTGAAAACATGGTGAAAGTAACAATATACAGACTGGTGAAAGGTGGCACATAACACCATTTAGCTGTAGTGTGATTAGCAGTATATAGCAAGTGGAAGTGGCACAGTTTAACACCTTTAATTACTTGGTGTAAATTGTCACAGTGTATTTCTATGCATTGGTATAAACAAAATGTTTTCTCACAACTTGATTTGAGTTTCTTTTATTAATCTCCGTGACTATAATTATGCAAATTTCATCCACATTTACAACTGTAATTGCCTCAAAGATTCCAACATATTCAAGTGTGTTCATTGACCCTGAGCCATGATGATGCCATTTTCAGCACATTTTGGTGTCTTGTACCCAACAGAGAAAGTGCAGTTTCCCTTCCACAGCTGTGATGTGATGATAGATGGCGATTGCTTCATGGTGTCTTCAGAAGCTGACACCTACTATGGAGCCAAGAGTCACTGTCAGGTGAGAGACAGGTGTGTGTTGCCCACTGAGAGAGTGAGACAAGCTCAACAACCGTTATTTGATTCTACATACAAGGATTTTCATTCTGCTTTCAGTGTGGCCTTTTCCTCTGTTTACACCACCAGGAACGAGGGGGTATTCTAGCCCAGATCTACAATCAGAAGGTTCAGGACATCCTGGCGTTTTATCTCAGTCAGCTGGAGACAAGCAACGAGGTCACCAACACTGACTTTGAGACACGAAACTTCTGGATCGGTAAGTCTTTCCTCTCGTTGATCCAAATAAATGTTAAGATATCATAATGTTTTCCAACACCGGGTAGCTCGACCAGATTAGGTGCCAGACTCTGCTGTCTTTTTGACCAGATGTACCGCCAGGTGGAGGTTGTGGTGATGATGCGTGGATAAAGCAGCAATGTTTTTGCTCCACAGGTTTGACATATAAGCCTCTGAAAGACTCATTTCGCTGGGACACAGGAGAGATCCCTAGATTCAGCAGCTTTGCCTTCGGGCAACCTGACAACCAAGGGTAAGAGACACATTTACTAACAGACATTAGCTACTGCAGAGTACATCATAAATAGACATGGACAGGTGCAATGGAGCTAAACAAACAAACAGACTAAAAACATCATCTGAAAGGTAGAAAATTACTTTTTGGTGGGAGCTTCAGGCTTTTTCATCTACAGATATGTCTGCCTATGAATCTACAGTATGATGAGAAGGTACTGAGATACATACTGTAGTTTGGTATTTTATTTTTTCATCTTAAAATAAAAATTTTCACTAAGGTTGTCACAAAAAAATCTTTTTTATATATGGACTAACCAGAAAAAGACAGATGTTGGCTGACCAGCAACCTTAACCCTGACCACTAGATGTCTCTCTCTTTCTGTTTCTCCCCCACTCCATTCCTCTGTTCTATCTATCTATCTATCTATCTATCTATCTATCTATCTATCTATCTATCTATCTATTTGATTTATCCGTGATTACTAACTAGTTTTATATTTTTATTAATATAATAACTACTATGTCATGTAATCATGTTTGAATTGAATGCTATTGTGTGATTTTTATATCTGGGAATATTTGGTTCAGGTCTGTAAAATTTACAGAAACACTTTCTAATCAGCAGCTCAAAATTAAAATGCAGAGACAATCTTCAGCACAAATTGTCACTTACTCCTCTTTCTCTGTCTAGCTTTGGAAACTGTGTAGAGCTGCAGGCGTCAAGTGCCTTTAACTGGAACGACCAGCGCTGTAAAACGCAGAACCGATACATTTGCTTGCATGGTAAGGCTCCTTCTGGGTGAGGGGTGGATGAACGTGTTAAGGGGGTGAAGGTAGAGTTCTCCTTTGTACAACCCAATGTGATGTGGTGAACCTTCCTGCTCGGAGGCAAGTGCAATTGAATGGGCGTTAAAAGTGGTTATTAGCCTCATACATGTGGGTTAGAGGGGGCCTACACCTACAAGTCAAATCCGCACAGAAGGGCTCCCACACCCGGGATCGAACCAGGAACCCTCTTGCTGTGAGGCAACAGTGGTAACCACCACATGCCGCCCTGTTTGTGTCACATGTGAAACCAAAAGTTAACATAATGTTCTTAAAGGGAAATTTCGGTTTATTTCAACCCGTCTCCTATCGTCCTAAATTTGTTTCAAGTGACTAGTGACATAAAAATAATAGTTAGCATGTTAGCCGTTAGCCTAGATACAGCCGGGGCGCATAGTAGCGTCAGACCTGTTAAAACGTAAGTGAACGGGCAACCTTCAAGTGCAAAGTTAGTCCACTAAACAAGCTTTTTTTCCACAAAGACCGCCTCATATCGTTAGGATAAATGTCAGAGAACATATAGAAAACGACATGTAAACGTGTTGTCTTACCTTACCGGTGTGCTGCCATGTTTGTTTACCATTTAGCTCTGCTTTCCAAAGCGCGGCCGAAATATCGCGAGAACAAGCAGCGATCTCATACCGTGCCTGAAATCTCGCGAGAACAAGCAGCAACAGCTGGAAGGCAGAACCGGACAGTAGCCTGAAAAGTTCATTCATTTATTTTATGAAAGATTTATAGAATAATGGCTGACTTTTTGCCAGACTTCGATTTTGTGGAGGAGGAATTTGATTTTGCAGAGTTTGATGGCCGCCCTTATTTATTTGAGCCAGAATACACTGACGAAGAGCTTTGTGAAATTGAAGAACGGAGGAGGAGGAGAGAGAGAGGCGCAACAGGTAGAGGACGAGAGAGGAGGGATGGCTGCTGCAAGGCTGCGTAGCTCTGGAGATTGGTGGTGTACCTGTGAATGCTGTGCCCCAGTGCCCACAGAAGAGGAATGCCTCTGTTGCAAGGAATGGGACCGGTTGCAGCCTTATTTTCAATGTCTGGATGTGACTGAGGATGAGACACCTCCACCTGGAGTAGTATCCTGCTGGGCTTTATCTAGAGCTCGCGAGATTTCAGGCACGGTATGAGATCGCTGCTTGTTCTCGCGATATTTCAGCCGCGCTTTGGAAACAAACACGGCACCACACCGGTAAGGTAAGACAACACCTTTACATGTCATTTTCTATATGTTCTCTGACATTTATCCTAACGATATGAGGCGGCCTTTGTGGAAAAAAAGCTTGTTTAGTGGACTAACTGTGCACTTGAAGGTTGCCCGTTCACTTACGTTTTAACAGGTCTGACACTACTATGCGCCCCGGCTGTATCTAGGCTAACGGCTAACATGCTAACTATTATTTTTATGTCACTAGTCACTTGAAACAAATTTAGGATGATAGGAGACGGGTTGAAATAAACCAAAATTTCCCTTTAACTTATGACACGTTGCGTAACAAGTATACTTATTTTAACCCAAAGATCAACCAGGACAAAACTGAAGTTTTAATCATCGGTCCTGAGGCTCAGAGAGAGAACCTTTTATCTAAATTGCAGGCATTGTCCTTAAATCCATCAATTCAAGTGAAAAACCTGGGCGTTATTTTTGACTCTGAGCTTACTTTTATTCCACACATTAAGCCTGTAACAAAAACAGGTTTTTATCATCCAGAAAACATAGCCAGAGTCCGCCCTTTTCTCTCCCGAGCTAACACGGAGACGCTAATGCATGCTTTTATCTCCAGTTGTATTGATTACTGTAATGCCCTGCGTGCTGGTCTTCCCAAAAACAGTATCTCAGGCCTACATCATTTCTTTAACCTTGTAAAGCACTTTGTGCTACATTTATGTATGACAAGTGCTTTATAAATAAAGATTGATTGATTGATTGATTGTAGTTTCGGCACGTAAATCCAACTTAAGTGAAACTGAAATATGATGTGCACCCTCTGTTCTGCAGTTTGCCCTGTCTGAAGCATAATATTGGTAGTGATAGCAACTGCCATTTAATGAGCTGACAACATTTGAAATGGTGAAACCACTGTGTCACTGTGGCACAAAACCAAATAGCTGATCACTGATAGCATTGCTTTTTTCTCTTGCCTCTGGAATCTACACAAATTTGGCTGCATTTCTTCAACTGTCTAGAACTGCCTTGCATGAGAGACTGGTTTATTCTCTCATATTTCTCCCAAAACTTGGCATGCTACTGTCTGCCCAACTGATGCACAAAACCAGCAGGCTCTGGATTTCACGGTGAAGTAGATCCATCTCTCTCTGAAACTGTGGCATTAATATCATTAGAACAGGATTCAGTGTGAGTCCTGGCCTCGATTATTTTTGGCTGAGTATGATTGGTGGTGACTTTGGTGAGAGGCCATTCTGAGAAAGGGTTCATACCATCAGCGCAGAGGGGTCCTGGAAGGTTGCTGACCTATTCCCCCTATGAATTGAATTCTGAGTGATGTCTGCAGCCTGTTTATGGTAATAATCAGCCATTTTTAACTGCAGAAACAGGCTTGATACACCATCAGCTTCTCAAGGGACAGTCGTCTAATCTCACATCAACATTGCTGTCCAATTTGAGCATTGGCATGCCGTTATTAGAGATGGCAGCAGAGAGAATACTGTGGTGTGTAGTTAGCGCCTTAACCCCTAAGCCAAGAAGGCTGCCCAGTCCACCAGCTCCTGAGTAACACATGTGGGTGTTTGAGATTGATTTTTTTTGAGATAGGAGACTCAGCCATGAAGTAAATGTGAAGGCCAGAAAACTTCAACAGTGAAATAAAAGTGTGAGCAGCAGACTCTGGTGGTCAGTTCAATGCTAGAAGCAAGCCTTTCACATTACACATTGATTTGATTGAGCGGTTAATGTCAAAAATATCACCTAATGGAGCTTTACAGTGTTTTGTATTTGTTTGGTTAGCGGCACCTGCTGTGCTCTACAGACAATCAGTAATAGCTACTTCACAGCCTCAATCATAGCAGGGTGACATCTAAAATGTTAATCCAGTGTGTCCATTAATCATATGAACACAACATTGAAATCTCTGTGTGATCCTGCCCACACATTTAAACATGGCACTCAGTCTAAATCAATGGCACTCAGTTGCTCGCCATCAAGCGCCTTTGAGCGATCAATATGCATCAGCTCCACAAAGGCGCGCAGTGTTTAGACACACACATACCACTTGAATTGATTGTAAGGAATGAGACGGTGGCAGATGTTTAGTTTTGCCCACTTGAATGCGTCATTGCAAGTGATTGGTGTGTAATCTGGTATTGATCACTCATAGCTGACTGAGTGATCTGCGCTGAATGTGGTCAACGTTGCCACGGCGACAATTTTACAACCTGCTTTTTGAAGACCTCTCAGTGTCTCCCCTGCTGTAGTTTGTGTTAGTGTAAAACAGGACCGATCAAAAGAGGGATTCAAGGTCAGATAATATATCAGCGGTAGTTAAACTGCAGTATAGAGGTCATTAACAAAGCTAAACGTACATGAATATTTTTCAATCATTTTCCCCACCCCTCCTCTTGAAATAAAAGCAACATTTCAGTGAAGCAACAAAGAGTGAAATTCATAAATTCAACTGATTATAAGCACACAGAGCCCCTCTTCTCCCATCAGAGTAATTTCCAGCCTTCATTGCTGTGTTGTGTTAATTGGTGATAAAATGATAAGTGGATATCACATAGCCTGAGGCAGACACGAAGCTATGTTTCTTCAGAGTACTGTCTGTGCGTGCGTGTGTGTGCGCGTGTGTGTTTCCATATGCAATAAGAGGACTCTTAGTCTCTTATATTCATGCTTTACATTATTAACAGTTTCCTCACAGCTATGTTTGAACTATTTTCCTTTTAATACCTCTACGCCGGCAACAGCCATGGCTGAAGGCATTATGTTTTTGGGTTGTCTGTCTGTTCATCCCTCCGCCTGCCTGTCCATCCACAAACTTCCACCTGGACTCAAGGTTAAACTGATAAGAATATGGTGCTCAAAGCTCAAAGGTCACTGTGACCTCACAAAACATGTTTTTGGCCATAACTCATACACTAATAGAATTTGTACATTAATTATGACACAATTTTCACACAAATGTCTAACAAGCTAAAATGATGACATGATGGCATTTTATATTCAAAAGGTCAACTTCAGTATGACATCATAATGCTCTGCGAAAACTTCTCTGGCCATTACTCAATGTCATAACTCAGGAACAGAAGGGGAGACATTTGGTCGGATGCTGAGTCGGTGAAACTAATTTTGGGCGTCCATCTTGAAACTGTGCTGACTGTATAGATCTTCTGTGCTGCTGGGCTGAAGATGTGTGTGAAGCATCCACACTTCAGAATTTGTAGCTTCAGCAATGTTCATATTTGAAGCCTTGTATACTGACGTGGCAGCATATGAGTCTGGACAGACATAGATGTAAACTGCAACTTGACTGGTTGGCGACAGGCATGCAACCATGAGGTGATAATTTTATTAGCTGAACAGGCAAAATTCCACATATATTTGGATTGTTTCTAAAATGTATGTGTTTGTGTTTTTCACAGCTGCAGAGCACATTGCCCGGTGGGAGGATGGCAGGTGACCTGATTTCTCAAAGCGGTGAACCTAGGTGTTTATAGCAAGTGTTAAATATTGACCGGGACAACGGCCACTCATGTTTTTTATTTTTCAATCAGTGTACACAGATCAGTGTAGTTTAGATGTACTGTATATATTGTACGTGTTTGAATGTTTAATGTAAATGTTTTATCATTAAATGGTTGTTTGTTACATATTCATTGTTTCATTCTTTGTATAAATTGTCTGAGCGAGCAGCTTCACTTGAAATAAAAATGCTGCTATATCACCTTCATCCTCAGGCCTCATGTGACCTCGAAATCGATTTGGTCTGCCATCATTAAAAAATGTTTCAGTGCTCTTACTGCTGCTTGAGGGAATGAGGAGAAAGAAAAGAGAATACTTCTTACAGTTATGATGGTGGGCTGCCTTGAAAGCACATTATTTGTCAAAGAACAGCGGGACAAGTAACAGCAGCATTAAAATAACACTAAAGCAAAGAACTAGATAATTAAAGCTCAGATTTTTTTGTACGTTCTGGATAAGCAAAAGCAACAGTGCTCCACGGTGCACACATTCTCTTCATCTAAGTTTATGTAAAGGACACATCATGGAAAACACTATGTATCATTTATGTAGTTATGGTTTTATGCCAAAAACACACCAAGCCGTGGCAAAGTGCAGCCTGGGGTGAGCTGCCATGCAGTGGTTATGGAAAGCTGCGGTGGCCACTATGAGCTGCAGGCATTTGATTCTGTGGGGAAGTGCAGCCTTAAAGTTAGGGATAGTTTATCTTTTAGTGACTATTGCTGCCGTAGAATACCCGCAGCCAATCAGTTAACAGTCTTGTGGCTGGTTGACATATGTTACAAAGAATTTCTTCCTGTCTGAAACGCATGAATAAGGCCACATTGCGACTAGCTGCACTTTGTCCACCACTTTAGTTCAGACTAAATTATCTCAACAGCTAACTTGACATTTTTAATTGAACTTGACATTTGAGTTTTTAAATGAAATGTCAACAACTATTAGATAGATTACCATTAAACGTGGTTGAGATATTCATGTTCTAATCAGGATAAATTTCAACAATTTTGGTGATCCTGCAACTTCTCATCAAACGCCATCATCTGTACTGGTCAATATTTAGATGTGTCAAATAACTTTGTTTTATGATCACATTCCTACAAAATGGCCCGTCAGCCTCAGCTATACTCTGTTTATTGATTATTAATGAATGTTAGCATATGAGCATGTTTAACTACAACAGCAAACCTTATAAATGTTATACTGATATTATATATGTTATATTATGCTGAGCACAAGAGAGCATTTAGCTCAGAGCACTGCCGTGCCTACAGCCTCACAGAGCCGCCGGCATGACTGTAGACTCTCTTAGTCTTGTTATCTGACACTCTTAACCCGAGTAACTTTCAGAAACTGCAAAAGTAGAATGAGCTTCAGTCCTTCTTATAATGACCTGACCTGCAGAAAATATTCCTCTGACCCTAAAATAATTGTGTAAGAGAGAAATCCTTAAAAAAAGGACGGGAATGTATTTTTAAATATAGAGAGTGTATGAGGACAGTTACAACAGGAGATGAGATTTAGTTTGGAGACCTTGTGACTTTTTTTCTTATTACAGATGAGTTGTCACTTATACCAGCTGCCATACTAGTATAGTTTGCATACTACATACACCAGATAGGCACCAAAGATAATGAAAACAGCCATTCAGTGAGCAAAATACAGTAGACAGACTGCTTTATTTTTAAAGTGACCTGATTTCTCTGTCTGATCCCCAGCAATTTAATAAGAAAAAGTTGACAACAAAGTGAGATTTAAATGTTTGATTCGATAAACAAGGCATTTAAAACAATTTCCTGATGGCAGCTGTGCAAATAATTACAGAACATCCTGTGAGGCAGTGGCTCTTATGTTCACAAGTAAAATGATCTTGGAAAGGAAAAGCAAACTGAGACTGTGACTGAGCTTTCAAATATCTTATCTAGTGTTGGCCTACTGGGATTCAGATCCTGGTCCAAGTTGTCATGAGAAACTTTGGAAGAAAAACTGTATTTGTTGGAGGACTGATTCAGCACCTTGGACAGTGAGAGTTTCTGTTACAGTAATGCCTCAGAAAGACAATGACTTATGAACAACTGCAATGTAAAAGGCCCCAAAAATACTGTTGCTAATGTAATTTATTATTTCAGAAACATAGGCTTACCAACGAAATTACTGGGATGTATTCGGTATGTTGAGAATTCCTTCAGTCCAAGGATATATCTAACCTGGAGATGAGATGAGATGAGGTGAGGTGAGGTGAGGTGAGGTGAGGTGAGTTAAGGTAAGGTAAGGTAAGGTAAGGTAAGATAAGATCAGATAAGATAAGATAAGATAAGATAAGATAAGATAATATACGATACGACAAGGTAAGGTAGGGTAGGGTAGGGTGATAAGATAAGATAGGACAAGGTAGGGTAGGTTAGGGTAGGGTGGTAAGGTAAGATAAGATAAGATACGGTGAGATAAGATAAGATAAGATAAGATAGGACAGGACAAGGTAAGATGAGATAAGATGTGGTGAGATAAGATAAGGTAAGATAAGATAAGATGTGGTGAGATAAGATAAGGTAAGATAAGATAAGATGTGGTGAGATAAGATAAGGTAAGATAAGATAAGATGGGGTAAGGTAAGGTAGGGTAGAGTAGGGTGGTAAGATAAGATAAGATAAGATAAGATAGGACAAGATAAGGTAAGGTAGGGTAGGGTAGGGTAGGGTAGGGTGGTAAGGTAAGATAAGATATGGTGAGATAAGATAAGATAAGATAACATAACAACATAAGACAGAGGACAGATACAAGAGTACAATGTACACAAAGGCTTAACAACAATAGGTGCAAAATATAAAAACTGGTTAAGAGTAGGATGCAAATAAGGTACAATCCAATATAAAAAATATTCAATGCCAAAAAAACTGGTTACTAATATGGATGATAAATATAGCAGGTTGCTTTCAGTGCAGTAGGAAGGCGGTAGATTCACTTGACCTCTGTCAGAATGACACATGTAAATTAACAAACAGATCCCTCAAAGATGTGTTTCTGTTGCCGATTTGCCCACAGCGCTCAGTGACTCAGCAGCCGGCAACAAAACCGGATCTGTCTGCATGTTGAGGCCAGGAGTTACTGACTGCAGAGGAGAGAGGAGGTAAAAGAAAATGTAAGAACAGAAAAACAGTGCTGAGCCTTGAAGCAAAACTTTTAACTATGAAATAAGATTTAATAAAACAGATTAGAGAGGAATTACTGTTGGAGATAAAATTAGTTTAATTGTTTACCTTACTCAGTTGTTTACCTTAACATAGCTACAATAAATGGCTCAGCAGCATTGTTTATTCATTTACATTTGCATTGGAATGTAGTAAATAAATTGTGAGGAAATTCCCATCAGAACCCAACCCTGATAATTCCACCAAATTAGAGAGGTGTGTTACCGTTACACACCACAGGACTTTTTTTGAAGTGTGGGTATGTGGTTTGGTTTTTCCTTGTGTGTACTGTATTTAGTTTAAATGTGGATCAGGTCAGTGAGTGTTTAATGTCGCCTCCAAGGTCCAACACCATACTGCCCTCTCGGTGAACAGAGGAGGACCCTGCTGGATGGTAGATGATGATACACTCAGAGGGAGGAGAGGGATAAAGGCTGTGGATAATGGGGTCAGACCGCTGTGCAGTGCTGCAGTGAAATGGTTCAAATGAACAAAACAGGGATGAGGCTGCAGGGTTAAACAGCTGGGAGCAAGAGGAGCAAACCAACATCCTAATTGTCTTACATTTTACTTAACACATGTTAGATTTTCCCTCTGCAAGTCTACAGTGTTCTCTACGTCATGCATGAAGTGCTCCAACATCTCACATCTCATGTCACATGTTACGTGTGCCTGGCTTGCACTGCATTTACAGCCTGATCCTGCCAAAACAAAAAAAACAAAACAAAACAAACAAAACAGGCTGGTCAGGTTTGTTTATTTGTCAGCCATCAAAATGGTTCTAATGGGCCCCATATTGTCAATACCCTAATGTGTCGGGTATTTCTTGTCTTTTTTTTAAAAGATATTTTTATATATTGTATTTATTATATTGTATTTTTTTGTACACTGATGATTGTTTGTTTTTTGTGGTATGCTATGGACCTCTCTCTGTGTCCTTAATAAAGTCATTATTATTATTATTTCTTGAATTAGCTGCTGACAGCTACTTTTTAAATCTTCCAGTGGGTTGCACACATACCACGTCATCAAAATGTCACACCCATCCTGACGGTTGTCCTGTTTATACAGACACTGTTTCGGCACTGTTACTACCTCCTGTCCCAGCTTAAAGGCGAGACCATTCTGTCCCCCCATTCTGCAGTTGTACCTTATATACAGCACAGCAAGGCGGGATAACGATGCAATATTTCTGCCTTAATCAGGCAGTGTAATAGGGCTAGTACATATGGGTCAACAGCCAGCAGCTTTTAACCTAACTAATAGCAGGTGGAAACACTTGACACCTGTCAGCCAACTGACTGTTATGCTGGCCTCAAATCAAGAATAAAGACATAACAGTTTCACCCCAGTAAGTGCGTACTCCTGTGATCAAACGTTTAAGAATTAGTTTTTAGTCTTTACACATGCAACTACTGAGGAATAGGTGCGCTCTCCCTAGCACCAAACAAATAGCAGCAAACTTGGTTGACAGTAAACATGAAGGAGACTCCGAGGAGGTGCAAGAACATGAACAAGTCTCAGTTCTCCCTAACTGTGGAAAAGGACAAACTGGTGGAGTTATGGAGTGAACAAAAGTCTGTGTATAATTCAGCATGTATCTGATCCACCAGCTGGCACTTATTTTAGTGAAAAATCTTAGTTTGTAAAACGGTTGCCACTTATTCCCACAGTCTCTTCCCACAAAAATAGCGCAGCTAACCAACGCGGGCTGGTGGTGAGTTGAGGCAACAAAATCCAAAATGTAAAGTTTGTACACAACTACAGTTTATCATATTGTATCATATACTGATGCTGAATTGACAATAATACTGTCAACATGATGCCTTTTATCTTGTGTTTCCAGA